ACCGACACGCCTGCGCAAATCAGTTGCAGTGCCATCCAGAGCTTTAAATCACAAATGTCTGAGGGGCACTGCCTCTGCACCCATAGATATAGAAAATCTGCACCCGTCATCCTGAGACATAAGTGGACAAGTCCCATGTGCTTGTAATTTCACCAGCACTGTACTCTTTAAAACCATATTACTGCTTGGCGGGAGAAATAGGTAAGGTGGCAATACTTCCCTGGACGAACACTTTCACAAGGAACTTTATGACTAAAACTGCTACTGGTTTTCACTAATTGCACTGTTTATTTAACATGTCTACATATCTAGTTTTATATTGACTTACAACTTGTCAAATATGGTGTTGAAGGAGGATGGAAAGCATAAGCTGGAAAAGCGATCATCGAAGAGGCAAGAAACATGGTAGAAACGTAAGTAAAAATCGGAGAGGATGTATATGGGCTACCTTGTACGACTTTGAAGTCGATTGAAGGTAGGCGTGGTTGGATCGTCGTGGTGAATGTTCACTGATCCCACGGCGCCGAGTCAACCGGCGAGAGGGAAACCCGGGGGGGTTTTAGTGGGGTAGGCCCTCCAGTCTGGAGGGAGAGTCCCCACATAACCCCTGAGTCTCCCTGGGCTCAGGGGTATCCATAAAGATTTCCCCCCCGTCAAAAAAAAAGGCGTGACTGGATTACGAAGATCAAAGTTAAATTATTGATTATACATTTTCCTTATCTGCATGTAACATACTCGCCCAGTCCCAATCTCGCCTATTCATTTGAATATTTAATTGTAGATGCAAGTTAATAGAAAGAGCGAAATGTGTTACTTATCTAGGTATCAAATAAGTAGTTGAACATTTTTGTGTCTTCTTTCAAGAATACTGTTGGACAAATTCTATTGCTTAAGTTTCAAAGTGCCTTGAATTCAATCATAGTTTGACAGGCTAGAGAACATGGAAATAAAGTTTTTGAAACTCAAAAGTCAAATGTAATGGTGACTACAATAACTTATTCAAAATTTGTAAAATTCTTCCGGTTACTGTACAACATAAATATACATATCTTCTGGCTGTCAATAACCATAGCGCAGAAGAGCGTGGCTCTTTGTTGTATTCTGTTGATAATAATTATAATACAAAGTCAAAGACCTTGGGTAAATTTGTAATCCCAAGAGTCACTAACTACTATGGAGGTAGGACCTTAAAGAAACGTATTCCGTACCTATTAAACACCGTACCAGGGGTTATTCAACATAAAACCAAAAAATATAAATTAAGAAAGGTGAACTTTTCTAATTGTCAATTGTCACCTTTTGTTTAATTGAGACTCGTTTGGATCCTGCAGTTAAACTGTGTATACAGTTTTGTATGACTATGTTTAAGCAAAGAAATTTATAACCTTTTTCAATTTTAGAATATTATAAAAAAGGTTATATTACTTGGACCACATAATGACAAAAATGGGTGATACATCGTGAAGGTTAGAACTAGGGGAAAAAAAATTCTCAGTACTTCTGTGAAGAAGACTGTCTATTTATTAAGTTAGCAAATGGAAGGAAAAATACCAGCAGTAGTCTGTCATAAGAACTAGTGCGAACAATCGAAAGAGAATATAATGGCGTTAACTTTACCAACATAGGACTAGCTTTAGAAGTATAAGTAGTATGTTGACCTATTGTGCAATAAAATCAGCTGCGTGTCTATATATTTTTATACGTGAATAAATTGCGAAACAAGTATCACAGCAACACATATCAGTCAATGTCATTGTTACATTGCGTTTACCAACCTATATTTCAACTACTATTAATCAGAAAGGCCAAATATTTCAATATTTCTAGTGTAAATTGGACTTAAACTATGTCCATATATTACATAAGTAACAGACACAAACATGTTGCATACTTAGGTGCCAATGTAAATAACGCAAAAGCCGTCGTTGTCTAACCGTGTGACCTACCGCTTCTCAAGCAGAGGCCGTGGATTCGAACCCGGTCTCGCACCTTCTGAGGTTTTCGAAATTTACGTGCGTAATTTAATTTGAAATTTGCTATGATCTTTTCGGTAAAGGCAAGCTTCATGATGAAACCTGCACGTCGAAGACGATTAACAACCCTCGAAAACGTGTGAAGACCCCAACCCGCTATTGGCCAACGAGCCTGGCGGACTATGATCTAAAACCTTAACGCCTGAGATGAGCGCGGTGCCCAGCAGTGGGATGCATAAATGGATTGATGTGAACATCGTAACTGAGACCGCGTTACTCGAACGATACGAATACGGCATTGTACAGACAAGAGCGTGGCAAGCTTGACACTTTGTACTTTGGACCGTTCTTATCGAAAGCGGCATTGAGTTGGATTTAAATCTTCTGTCAAGCTTGACGTGCTCTTGACCCTGTACCATTCGGATAACTGAAATTACGTTGATTTCAAAGGTGAACTGTAGGTAGTACCCATCAGTACTCGGTAGGTGTGGTACCAACCAGCACGTGGGCCTGGTATCCAGAAAGATGAACATCAATGTGAATGCCTACGTTCTTTTCACACCTGAAACACGCCCACTTCTTCAACTATAATAAATTCAGAAAGGTCGAATTCTGACCTTTGCGTGAGTCAATCTATCAAATGGCCCGACGTTGGATGCCCTTGACACTTATTCCGATACATTCTTCTCACACCTTCGATTATTATTATTTTAGACTCGCTTCTCCCAATGCCTGAAAGATTAATTTTGAATTTTTAAATTGGAGGCCGGGTCAGGGTTTCAGGTACCTGTAAAGTCACCAGCACCCTTACGCTTCATAACCGGAACAAATGGAAAACTTACGACAGCGAATGTCAATGTTTTCATGATAACTAGGTTTCTATCTAGGTGATGCAATGATTACATGATTATGATTCTTTAATGTAAAAAAAAATTAACGAAACTAGTTGGCGCTTCGTCTGTTTTGCCTCCGGAAGAATTTAGAAATTTCAGTACAAAAAGCCTTAACTCGTGTAACGCCTTCTAATTAAGCCTAAGCTTTTGTTCTTAGTGAGTATAGATAGCCCTACAGCAGTGACTTCCATAAGCCACACATTTGAATAATACTGTGTTTAGAGCTCTATCGCTCCGACGAGTTAGGTGCGAGAAATTTGACACACTTTCCATCGTTTTTTTAAAGTAAATACTTCATTCAAATCTTCTAAAAATTTAAACGCGCTAGTAGAAGGCGTGAATAAATTCGAATGAACTATCATTCCAGTGTGGTATTTTCCCTTGTCTTAACACTAGTGTCTCATCCTAAGAGGGTATCTATGTTGTACATTAACATTTGAAGTAGACGTTATCATTATAGTGGGGAAAATTCAAATTCCAAATTCCATTTATGTAATAGATATAGAAATGAATTTTTATATTTTAATTAACCACAATTGATCTTTCCTCGTCCACTTTTTGTATGAATGTCCGTCCTCAGCGTTAGCGTATACTCTCTTTGCAAAGCATTACATACTTTTTTATTTATATATACAATCTTTATGTTTAAATCTCTATAATATGATCTATGCCTTAACCTCATTATTTTTATCTACTGTCGAAAAACCTTAGAGGATGGAAAAAATGAAAAGCAAAACTTTTACTCTGGCAAACCTGAATGTGCTGTCAGCAATCTGTCAATATATTCGGAAATGATTGTTGACCACAAAACTGGGTTTTATATTCGCTTTTTACGCTACTCGATGACTAAAGTGAGTTGGTTATCATGAGTAGAGCTATAAAAATCACAAAAGTTTCCGTTTATGCAGGATATCACAAGATAGACGGGATGTATTGGAAAATTTACGTGAACTACATTACTCTCACACTGGACTGGGACAACCGGATAAAAATACATTTCAGTGATGCAGCGGTAATACAGTTCTTACTATTTTATATATTACTATTGTAACTAAAAGAATTTGAGCGCACTAAACGCTAGAGAACATAATACAGTATATTTAATATTTGCGACAACTAATGTAGTCTAGTGAAGTATTTTGATACACAACTACAACAAGGCTCTAGTTTAAATGTAGCCTTCCTCAAGTCTTGTTATAATTCCAAAGGGGGCGTTAGTAATACACCTGTTAAAGACAAATTATTCTATCCAATACACCTCAATACCTTTCAACAAATACTTATGAGTATTCTTAATACAGGACCAATCGAAGTGCTCTGGGCATTCGCCTATTATACCTTACTGTGGCACACGGAATGTATTGAAGAAAAAAATAAAGTTAAAGGCGTCGTGTCCAGAAGATGACGACATATTGTGCAGTGTAACCACATTTATTACTTCGTTGATGTAGACATTAGACCACTGATCGTAATTTATGAATCCAGCACCTACTTTGCATCCTATCCCAACTCATTTATGCCACGTACGTAGTAAATCCGAGTTCATATAGAGTTTATAAGGTTTCGCGATTGCTACTCGTTGAAAAATGAATCTTTTTTTCGAATTTCAATAACTTTTTTTTTAATTAATAGATACAGGCGTTACTTTGCAGAAGTCCATGTTAATAAGAATGAATGTAAATTAATTTGCTACTCCGCGAACCCGGTGGAGGTTGAATCATGCAATATAACCACGCTTTTTTTTCAAGCAGTTAATTTTTCCACCCCCTTTCTGCACAAAATTAATTAAATAAGTAACTCAAGCTCGACTACAACCACATTCACCACCACCAAAAACTTACCATAAACAAAAAACTAACTGCATGGAAAAATTATTCAACACAAGCGTGGCTATTTTGCATGATTTAACCTCCATCGGGTTCGCAGAGTAGCAAATTAATTTACTTCCATTTTTTAAAACAAACTATCGATGTTTATTTCGAATGCATGTTCGTGTAGGATTTGAAATGACACTATGTATAATTAAAGAAAAGAATAGCTATCCTAATCGCCAAATTTAGTGAACACTTTCCACTATAGAAATAAGTTAAATGCTTTTTACTTGAGACTTAACGGTAATGTAATTTGTTAACAGTACTTGGACATCGGCGAGGATATGAACGTACCTGATGACTTCACCCAAAACGAGTTACAAACTGGGAAGTGGTGGAGACATCTGTTAGCTGGGGGCATCGCTGGCGCCTTCAGCCGGACCTGCACTGCGCCACTCGACAGACTTAAAGTATTCTTACAAGTAAGTTGACACGGCTGTCATTCAATCAATCCACCATCAAAGTTTCATACACCTATCCAATATAATGCCGTCACATCCGATCCTGAAACGCCTGCATCGAGCTGTCGGATTGTGGAGGCGAGAACTCCTTTTCTGACAACTTAAATCCACATGCTAGTGTAACAGAAAACTTACTCTATTATCATACATTTAAAATACTTGTAAGTCAAATCGCGCATATTCTTGAGTCATCTTTTAAATTACTTTCTGGCTTGCTACACCAGCTCACCAACAAAATGCTCAAGCGTGAGCACTGAAATTTTATTACTCAGCATATTAGAACTGCAAAACGCATCCGCGTTTTTTTTCCACATCACAGCATAAAAGCCTGTCCGCACGACTGCGAACATGCCCGATGCACGGCAATAGTTATTGTTTTACTTTACACGTGGAGTGTCCAACTCACTATGCTTTGGATAGCGTTATCTTAGCCTCGTTGCCTCGGGCTAGTATATTACACCCAGCAGCAAGACTCTGCTTTCGCGGTCCATGTCGGCGTGAGTTTTGAAATCCTCGGAATATTACATTAGACGACAAAATTGTAATGTCATTTTAAATTATGTTATTTCAGGTGAACCCAACAAGAGAAGGAATGAGCAAATGTTTAGCGAGAATGATTAGTGAAGGCGGGCTCACTGGTATGTGGCGGGGGAACGGCATCAATGTCATAAAAATTGCTCCGGAGTCCGCGATCAAGTTCGCCGCGTACGAACAAGTGAAAAGGTTAATAAAAGGCGAGAAAAGAAACCTGCCGCTCGAGATTCACGAGAGGTTTATAGCGGGTGCCAGTGCTGGCGCGATCAGCCAGACTATCATCTATCCTTTAGAAGTGTTAAAGACGAGATTAGCTTTAAGGAAAACCGGCCAATATCGAGGCATCGTCGATGCGGCGAAGAAGATATACGCGCGGGAGGGCCTCAGGTGCTTCTACAAGGGATACATTCCAAACATTCTGGGTATCGTGCCGTATGCGGGCATTGACCTGGCGGTGTACGAGACGCTAAAGAAGAAGTACATCGCTAAGTACCAGCGACACAATGAGCAACCTGGCATGCTGCTGCTGCTGGCGTGCGGGAGCGCTTCTTGCACGCTCGGCCAGGTCTGCTCCTACCCTTTAGCGCTCGTGCGGACGCGGCTACAAGCGCAAGGTAATTATTCAATTCATCACTGTTGCAATCGTTTCTTAATATTTCAACATGTATATGAGGTGATTCTGTATTAACAAAGTTTGAAACAGGTCAATCACCTATCTAAATTATAATATTGTCGGTGTTTTGTGGAAACGGTGAAAGCGCCATTTTGAAAAAAAATTTAAAGGAGTGTGTTTTAGGTTTTATCGACTTTATTTATATATTTACGTCCCTTTGGTTTTAATTAAATTTGACTTTAAAAACTTTAATTTAAAACAGGACGTAAATATTTTTCAGTCGTGAAAAACTAAAACATGCACCTTTGATTTTTTTTAAATGGCGCTTTCGCCCTTTCTTCAAAACACCGACTACATATAATATCACTTTCAACAAAATTATAATTATATTTGGTCCATACTTTTTATCGGCCACATGTTAGCACTATGTAACGTGTATTTTGTACAAGGGACTAGTACTCCTTGTCCAGATTGAGACGCAGTCCATTAAGTCGATACGATTCGTTTGTTATCAATAGACCGATACGGAATGACCTTTCGCAGCTTAATTTCACGATCGACGATCAAGGTCCGCCGTTGCGCAAAAACAACTATTTCATCATCGTAACGCAAAGGAATTCATTGTTTGTTTATTGTTTTCTGAAACAAATGAATATACAACGCGACGGTTTCCGCAAACATTGCAAGTATGATAAATATGCGATATTAATCTAGGGGATTTCCTATAGCAGTAGAACTGGATCAGCAAAGTTAAATTAGGAAATTTGTTGTACCAATATTTCTTCCTATTTTTATAACTTAGTCAAAAAAATTTACTTCGCAAAAATAAATACGTCAAAACCATTTAAATTTTCTATTCTATGGATTTTAGGTAGAAAATCAACCTTAACTTATGTTTTTACACAAATTGAGTAAACTTCTATTTGGAAGGTCTTTTTTTGGTGTAGTAACCCTTACGTTTACATAAACTCTCTTGGATTCTAGGTCGGAGTTCAATCCGTTGCTATGGTACTCACTACAGGAATTTCTCTAGTTTGAGACCAAGTAGTTGGTGTGGTTGTCTACTATAAATAATATATCTTCTAATGTTCAGAAAAAGCAGCGAAAGGTGCCGAGGGCACGATGCGGGGGGTGTTCCGAGAGATCGTGCAGCGAGAAGGACTACGTGGACTTTATCGGGGCATCACGCCCAATTTCATCAAGGTACAATAATATTCTTATAGTTTGATTTTTAATTATAGATACCCAGGTTTGGCCCTTACATTGATTGCACTTTTGAATTCATTTGCTATGTCTATAAAACTTTATGTAACAAAAATAATTTTGACGAAACGAATATACAACAGTGTAACCTTATATACAGAGAGTAGGTATGATAAACTTGAATAGTCCAAATAAACTTCTTAAGCCAAAGGAATACAATGTAATTATAATTCTGATAACAGTTTTTCGAACTAACGATACTGTAAGATGTCTGTTATAAATTTATACCAAAATAGTCATCACACTAATGAAAAAAGTTGATCCGTGTTCGGAATAATGAAATTCGGGAAAAGGAAATTCGTTTTTTGATGGATTACGTATGTTTTTGCTAATTTTAAATATTTTGTATTTACTAAAGGTAATCCCTGCGGTGTCGATCTCGTACGTGGTATACGAGTACGCGAGTCGATCACTCGGCGTCAATATGACGTGATCGCGTGCGCATGTGCCGCCCCGCACCTTGCGCCTGCCCGCCGCTGTGCCCGCGCCTGCGCCCCGTCCGCGCTACGCCTCGAGCTCAACCCACATCACATTCTACTTTAAGCATATTAGCAAATTTGCATTTGATTGTATATAGCTCTCGTATTCGTTAAGTTATACTTATTATTTATTTTTAATGTAACGTGAACTTAACAGACGTTGTAATTCCATTTAAAATATAATTTTGGTCGTAGTCCCCTAGCTTAAGCTTGGAATAATCTGAAATGTTAGATGAATCATTGGATAATATTCTTTGCAAAATCTGAAGCTGGTTCGTACGTAATTTGAAAATGAATTCGTTGTGACGTCGGCGCACTGCCGTAATTGCATCTGTGATTAAAATAAATTGATATTTTTATTTGTTTTCTTTTTATTTTGCTTTCAGTTTTATTTTTAAAGCTATTTTAAAAAGGTCATTTTCAGCAGTTTTACCCGAAGCTGCTGAACTAATTTGAATAAACATTTGTATGTAATACAGTACCAGTATGAACAGTGTGTTAGGGTTGGTAAGTATACTCGTGCCACTTTTGAGGTCACTATCTTAAATTTCATTGTTTTAATTCGTTAATGTTGTTTTTATACCTTAAGTACATATATTTATTAATTGTTATTTTTAAATAACTTCCGTGACACCAACACACAAGAAAGTGAGGTATGATAGGCAAACTGTGATAAGTAGGCGAATTGTTTTTATGTAAGCAAGATGTAGGAAGAACATCAGGGTGGGAACAGTTTTCTATTTTTGATGCCGTCACAGTATTTGCCTTTTGCGCAAGTCAGTATGAAGTTCGAAACAAACAAAGATCATATTATCCCATTTCGCACATTACAATAACCGCGCGTGACACGTTAGTGACATAACGTCGGGGATAGGGCAATTACGCGTAACTATTCATTTCGGTAATTTAATGGCCAAATCAACTCCGCGTAAATGTCGTAGCAACCAAATTAGCGTGATTTATTGTTATCAGTCCGTTGACAATATAAATTAATGCTTACTGTACAAGAATGAAAATCATAGCTATTGAAATAACAAAGTAATAACGTTAAATCACTCTCCTGTGAAATTTGGTTTGGTGCTGATACGCGCCTTGTACTAATACTACTTACGCGCATTTGCGCTTTCCCCGACGATAAATCATCGATCGCACTGTGTCTTTACTCACATAAAACTTTTATTTACATTGGGAATTAATCTGACTACTTCAGACACGCCATACGCAATGTGAGCAAAGAAAAAGCAAACCCATAATAATTAAATGTTCGGCGTAGATCAGTGTGATCCTTAGGTTAAAACCAAGTTAAATATATGAGGAAATATGTCTCTCAATTTTAATTAAATTTATTGTAGATTTTAACTAGATAGCTAGGCTTAAGAATGTCTTTGCCTTTGTATTTTCTCTATAAATTAATTGTTGTAGTTAGTACTTAGATTTTAATTCCAATCTTGCTCTCTTTAGATAGTGGGCATTGGATCAGGAGGCCACACGCATCGTGTTATATATCAACGCGTACACGTCGAACCGAGTAGGTGCCTCTGCTAACTCCTTACGCATTCAACCAGCTTGATACAAAACACACATATATTATAAGGGTTAGTGTTAGAGGGCTTAGAAAATATGCTGCCAATTTATCTATTAAAATTCAGAGATAATGATTTTGGTTTATTTTTTACTTCGGTATTTGAAGAATATGAATACCACGGCCATTGTCGTGATCGTTCCCACAGGCCAGAAAACTAAAGCCGCTTAATACACTGGAATACATCCGCAGAATAGCCCTTTTTACGTACAAACATGTACCATTCCATTGAAATTACGATTGATGTACTGATCGATGTGACCGATGCATCGCGATGTGTGTGGCCTGCTGTAAGTACAGCGACCGTAGAGGGAGAATTTTTTATTCTTCCTCTACGACAGCGACCTTAGAGGATGGAAAAAAGTTTCCATAGTCTAAGACAGCGACGGACAAAAACTCGTGAAATTTGACAGTTATCAGACAGTTTGAATTTGACGTTTGTCAAATTGTATAGCAGGAAATCTTCATTGACAACCTTAGAGCATGGAAAAAAAAATGAAGGAAAAGCCATAGTCTAAGTTGACAACGCATCAGTTTAAATTCTCTTTGCAGTTGATGTCAATCAAAGAAGCGCTGGAAGCAGAGCCTTACGTTGTTGGCATAGGTATATTTATTGTAAGGATATTTTTTTACTTACTGCTGTGTTCCTGTGGGAGAGTCTGAAGGGAGAACATTTATTATATTGGAGCCGTCCTGAGCGGCGGTTGCCATTTATCTTCAGGTAGACCTTCTGGCGTTGTGTCGGATTGTACTCTGTAAAAGAATACATCATTAATGGTGAAAGATTTATGTAATGCATGGCAAGATTCCCTACTCCATCGACACTTACGTCAAGTGAGTTTGTGGCGAAATGCTTACCGAAAAGCAATAAACATATAAAAAATAAAACAATAATCACAATTCAATATGGACGACCAGCAAGCAAGTGATAAACGGAGCGTGTAGCGTAATCCTAGGTCTGTGGGGCCGACTATACCAATAATGTGAAGGTGGTTGCTTAGATAGGTAGTATGTCTTTCATGAAATTTTGATGTACTAATTTGCTATACATAGACGTGTATTCATGTGTAACTAGTAGATAGAAAACAAATTTATTAGAGCATCTAGGCTAATTTTGCTAGGAGTTGTCCGTTATACTCATTGACATTAATTTACTCGTATAAAAATTAGCAAATTTTTCAATGTTTTTATTTTTTTATTCCAAGTAGGGAATACGAATTTGTATATTCTCCATAAATGGTTAATCTTTTTCTGTTATAGGTAGAAAGTTTCTACATAGTTACTGTTTTATATATTATAACGTGTTACTGACCGAGGGTTATAAAGTTGAAGTGATGGTTGTGCTCATGCGCATGATACAACTGGTGTTGGTAGTCGTATATATGGTAACAAACAACTTACCAAAAATGTGATTCAATCTAGAAAAAACTTTGTTCTCTGAAGTCTCAGTTTACATTGCGGCCGAACTGAATGGAATGGAAGCGTCAATTTCGAGACTTCGCGCGCGGTATTTCGTCGACGTTTGACGTCACACTGCGACTGCTTTCGCGTCACTTCCTGCAGATTCGCCAGGCGTCGCCTTCGGCTGCTGCGGAATTCTCGCGAATGCGCGAGCAGTCACGAGCATACGCGCAAATTCCGCGGATGGCGTGAGACGTGATTTTTGGCTCGTATCTAGTTTGTACGATACACAATTGGCCATAAAGTTCATTACTCTATGTACAATATCGTTACAAAAATTCGCTTTCATTCCGTTCCGCCACAATATAAATTGAGCTTAAACTCGGTCTATGTAACATAGAGCAGACCTAACGAAATTAATTATAGCTTTTAAAAAAATATTTAGATAGATATTTATATACATTATAATTAGAATCTTGAGATTATTTTAACCATACAGACTGTAACAGAAAGGTATATATTTCAGTTTGTGCTGATGGTAACAAACCATTTATTTCTTTCACATGCAGTAAAAATCTGGGTCTTGGCGCAATCTGAATTTTAATTCTACACATTTATGTACATACTAACCAAATTAATGTTTGCGGAGATTTTGTATACATGTTTGGTTAGATAGTATTTTGAATTATCTGTCTGGATTTTATTGTTTTCTTGAGGTATTGTTTTGCTAATGGGGCTGAGAAGTTCAATAACGATCAAAGCCCCTAAAAAAAAGAGTAAAAAAGATCATTTATGTTTATTTGTTAAACTCTTAAAAAAAGCATGTTTTAGATTTTCACCAATTTAACTTTTTTATTTTAATTGTTTGTTATCATAAGCGTTACCAACTAAAGACCAACTAGACGAAATGTGGTCATGCCTCTTTGTTACACCTGTAGAAATTCTGTAACTGAACATTACCATTGAGGTCTAAAATCAAAAGCGCATATTGACAGTTACTTTGCAAACTCAGATACAGGTACAATCGACAGCAAGCTGGTTTTTACTCTTAGCACTTACTGTAACAAAGGTGCAAAGTAAAGGCCTGTAAATGTGTGTGTAGCTGTGCGGACTTAAAAAAGTTGAAAACATTTTTCAAATACCGGTACTCATCTTACAGATTCAACTTTGTAGGTATATTATATAAATAAAAGTATTAACTACATAATCAATGATTATTCAACATAAGTATCTATACACTAAGTACATACTTACTTGCTTAACAAAATATTCAATAATTAAATACTTACCTACATATTTCTGAATTCTTGTTGGAAATTGTGTGTGTGTCACTTTCGCTGCATGTTTGTAAGCTATACATGACTGTTAGTAGGTATCTATATAAGCTTTTAAAAAATTGTTACAATGGAACCATTTCGATTATTGTCTGTTGTTAAAATCAATAAACTTATCCCAACATAAAACTTGTTTAGATGTATTATGTTTTGGTGGATAATAGAATCAAAGCAATCGCGTGAAAGAAACCGCTATTTTTATAAAGTGTAAAACATCCCTACTCCTTCCTTAATTAATATTTTTTGGTGTTCCCTTACACTTACGTCAGGGCTCCGTCACTCGCTCAAGGTTACGCGATAAGTGCCTACCGCTGAGTGCGCCGACGTCGACGCAAGCGCTCGTATGAGCATTCGGCTCCGCACGACTGCACACGGTGGGCAACGTTATTTTCACCTCTCTGAGCGCGTAGTTAGGTTCCTTTTTCCTCGCAGTGAGCGCCTGGTGTCATTAGTAAGATTTAGTAGGCTATTATAGCGTAGGTATTTTCGATTTTGTATGAGATTAAGTAATCTGTGCTTACGTGTCATCCTCTACATGCTGCACATACGCAACGCATGATAGATTCTTTAAACAAACGCATTGCCGAATTGCAACGAACAAGCTATTACGTAACTAATAAGGATAAGTATGTTTGATAGGATACAAAGAGCATAATTTAAAAAAAATTACTGGCGTATATTTAGCCAGTACCTACACATACATAGGTACCGCATTTCAAAAATCTTGGTAGTCTTGGTACTGTTATCAACTTAACATAGAGGACTCTAAATGTACCACACAAAAACTAGAATCGCAATACGAAAACAGACTTTCCATAATGCAAAAAACAAATTTCCCACTGAAAAGTACCATATGACTGAAAAAATATTCATAAAAACTATGTATGGAGGACCGCACTGTATAGATGCGAGTCATGGATAATCACAAAGAAAGACAGGAAAAAATTGGAGTCATAAAATGGAAATACGGTACTGTAGGTGAATGAAAAAAAAAATGGATTGAGAATATATCAAGTGAAGAAGTTTAAGTTTTAGAAGTTTTAAGAGTTAGGGAAGAAAGAAATCTTATAAACACAATAGAGAACATGAGGAGATGTTAGGACATTTGTTAGGTAATGACGAATTTGTGAGAATTATAATAGAGAGGAAAACAGAAGGTTAAAAAAAGCGGATAAATTTCAAGAATTGCGTATAGTGAACAAATAAAGAAGAACATCAATCCTTTAACTACCTCCTTGGACGAACGTCTGTCAGGTACCATGCTGGATTTCCGGGCCGGGAGAAATATTTGTGTTGCATACTCTTATTTATCTCGTAAGTTTGGATGTAATGTCTGTATGTGTGTCCATGGCAGCCACGATACTAGGTTTCCTAGTGCTGGGCTGTGAGTGTGTGCGTTAAACAAAAATCAAAGTGAGCAACACAAATATTTTTTAGGCAGCAGCAGAGTTCCTTGCGAAAGAGTTCGTCCAGGGAAGTACTGCCACCTTACTTTTTTCTGCCGCCAATAATATTAGCATTGCTGCGTTCCCGTTTTGAAGGGTAAGTATGCTGGTGAAATTACAGGCACATAGGACTTGTTAACTTATGTCTCAGGGTGATGGGTGCAGTGACAGTACCATCAGGCGCACGACTTGTTCGTCCCGTCACTTAATATTTAAAAAAAAGATCTAGGAGCTGGCAATGAACCGTGAGGAGTGGAGGAGGCTACACCGACAACAGCTTGGCTCTTAAATAGGGTGATGATGACTTATATTATGTAATAATGTTTTTCTTATAAATAATACCTACGTGCGCATTAGACCTATTCGATTCTCAGGCCGGGAGAAATATTTGTATGGCCTACATTTATTTTTCTCGTGAGTTCGGGTGTGATTTGTTGTTGTGTATGTGTATGTCTAGGATACTTGCGACGTTTACCATTCTTTTAGACCAATAGGTACGTTTTAATTACGACGGATCGTTACAAGAAACAAACGTAACGCCATGAGAGATCAGACTGCATTAGGTCAGTATATGGCTGTAATACAATATTTGCAGGTGCATGCAATGCATACTGCAACAAATCAAATATTTGTGAGTAGCGGATACACCGTAGAATTCCGTTTAAATTTCAAACACGTTTCTAAAAGAGGAGGCGCGGTTGAGTACCTCGTGAATATTTGATCTATGTCAATGTATAATTGCACCTGCGCAGGCTTTGAGGTCATATTCCTTGGGTAAGGTGCCAGCGCCAGTGGTTCTCTAAAACATCGGCAAAAATCGCCATGGTACGAGTTTTTGAACTCGATTTACTCGAGTTGACGTGATTGCTGACTCGAGTTGCAATTCAACAAATTAATTGCAATTCGAGTTGACTCTATTTGGTGTCTGACAGCAAGGTCCGAAGGTCGCCGAACTGCCCAAGTGAGCACGAGAAGCCGATGCGCTTTATGAATGAAGTATTTGAATCGGCGCGGGCCGGGTACAGAACTGAGTAGCTCGCGTTCATATAAAAGTAGCTAGAGTTGACACGTTGTGGGAGTAACTCGAGTTCAATAACTCGACTTGCCCATCGTTAGGCAAAAGTCGTGCTCTTGACAATACATACCATAGATATAGAAAAAAAGAGATACAGACAGACGTGTCCGTGCTCGCGGCGTCTTAGTTCCGAACTTCACAGGACCGAACTATGCCTCTGCCAATGGCGGATTTGCAGTCTTGGCCGCCCTAGGCTCCAGGCCAGGTAGTCAGTACCAGCCGCCCTTTCTCAGCACTCATCATATACCTACTGCTAGACTACATAATAAATTGACTTTATTGCCAACTTATATGGAAATCGAATCAGAAATTTAGTTAACTATAGCTGCTCTCTGTCTATTGATGGAAACCGCATGAAAATCTGTTCAGTAGTTTTTGAGTTGCATCTATTTCATCTAAAAAAAATTTTTATGTATGGAATTACACCAAATTCCGTATTATTTGACGCGTATGATGTTTCCGTCCAAGACTTTGGACAGAAATCGATTAAAACCTGAGTCTTGGGTAAAAACCCGGATAAAACCCGAGCGTTGATGAGGTTTTAATCCACTGCCTATCTCTGCATACCATTAGCACTTCACTGTATATGATTTTTCTTAAAATTTAGACGTCGGGAATAATAAATTAAACTTTCTTTCTACTTTAAATAAATTTAAAAAAACTTTCGTTATACATAGGTGTATGAACAATATTTTAGTTGATACGTTTGATTGTTCAAACACATTCCGTGCACGATGGTTTCACGTTGGTGTGTACCTACTGATTTCTGTTTATAATAAACTTATTTACTTTTGATGACGTTTCCAAGTTCCATTTTAATTAGGAAATGAAACTAGTTTTTCCGGTTTTGTATAGCGTACCTATTTACACTTGTTTTTTCAGACAAACCAACGTTTCGGGTCCGTTACAGGTACCATAGTCAGAGATGAAGTTGTTTGTTTGAAAAATCAAATATACGCTATTGAGATAAAAAAAAATATTTTCATTTCCTATCTGTAACAATCACCAAAACCTAAGAATTCCTTTTTATTTATGTCATGTTTAATTTATAAAGATATAATATAACCACCGACTTGTAAAATATAACAGTACCTAGGTAGGTGCTTGGATACAATATTTTGTTGTCATTTATATTTAGGTAACTATCTTAACTATATGGTCAGGAACCCGTAAAGCTTTTCCACTCATTGAGAAGCTATCTAAAGTATTCGTTTTTATGAAACTTAATCAAACAATACCTGTTCCCTGCAATTCGGCACCGCTGCGCCTACGGACAAAAATCGACGCCGACAGACGTTAGGTAATAGAGTAATACTAAAGACGTAGAAATCAAAACAAAAGAACAACAAAAATCAAACCTAAGTATTACTTTAAAACTCTGAAACCGACGGTAATTGCAGTTGTATTGACTTTTGATACCATGTTGCGTAATTAGTAGGTGAAAATAGGTCCAATATCAACACAACACGTATATGTTTTATTGGGTATTTTATTCAGGCATCTGCCAAAACTTTCTATTTATTTTAAATTTTTTATCAAAGGTTTATGTATGCATTACTTTAGGAATAGATAAAAGTCAGTGTGTGAATATGACGGAAATGCTTAATCAGCCTGCAACATTTGTTTACAATTCATTTTGTATTTCAGTTACTTGTGTTTTAAGATACGAGTTTGAGAAAGTAAGGCGACGTATGTAATATTAACGTTTTTAATGTAAACAACATGTAACACACGTAACATTTTTTAATGAGTCTCTACTGTAATATACATACATTTTTATAGTAATGTAATAGGATGAAAAAAATATAATTCTGCACAGCGTAGTTTTTCCGCGGTAAAAAAAACTTTGTCTTTGGGCTTTCTAGGGTACGGACAATTATTATTGGTAACGAACTATAAAAAACATAACGATGCCGAGACGACGACGTGCCTGACAAGTGTGATTATTCGTAACGACATGAATTGTTGACGTTATTTTATTTTATAAAAATTAGAATGCTGTTATATAATGGATTTTTTTTTTTAACACCAAGCGAATGAGCCGTGCACCTGGTGGTATGTGCCACTCAAAGCTTTTAATCGCAAAGATTTTAGGTTCACTGCCACTGTGCCCGTCACACTGAGATATAAATTGACACGTCTATTTGACTATAATTTCAGCTGCACCCTAAGGCTCAACTCACAATGGCGCTGAGTCGAAACGTCGCGACGCGTCACGTTGTTCGCCTATGACATATTCATCTCTATTTTCCCACCATTGAGGTACAAATTCGTGTTAAGCAAATACGAAAACGCGCGGCGGCGCGCGTGTACGCGCGCATTTGCGCGTCGACGCTTGGTTGAAGTCGAGCGATTTCGCGCGTAGCCACGCGTTACTTGGGCGCAGCGAGGCGTCAGACGCCGATCACACTGTGTGCACCCGGACACACTAATAATGCTAGCGTTATCGTGCGTCGACGCGCGTCTTCTGGCGCTCTAGTTGAAAAACAGGACGCAACGCGATATATGAATATGAATATATGAATGTACTTAGGTATCTGCGGTGTGTTCATTAGGGTAGCACAGAGCATACTGATAATATAAAAAATTGTTACATTTATAGTTTTTCTTTCGTTATACTATTCGCTACGTTATTGGCTGTGGTTGTTAGTCTCTGCTGACATGGCAACGGACCGAGCACTGCCTCTATTTTTGTTTATGGTTTCCTGTCAATCAATTTTATCTTTCTTTCTTTTCAAAGCTGCACGTGTAGACGCGGACGACTTGCTTATCATCCTTTAAATTATTTAGGTAATGTTGATTGGATTTTGATCAGCTGGCCCGGCGGGTGGTGCGGAAGTGTGCTAGTTACCAAAGCTAAAGTAAATCTCGTTAGGCCGTACAAGACACGTTGTAAGTCGTGAAAAATTCTGCGAACTCGCAACGATACTGTGGTTTTCTCTAACGTTTTTGCTATTGTGACTTGATGGCGTGTTTTTGAATTTAACATTTGTTTTGAAGGTTAGGTTAAACTGCAATATGCCGTCCGACGCCAAAAAGAGGGCCCAACAGAAGAAAAAGGAAGCAGCTAGTAACAGAAACAAAAAACCTATTGCAAAGGTGACTAACATTGAGGAAAATGGCACGGCGACGAACGGAACCGAAAAGGAAGAGCGCGAGCTTACTGCCGAAGGTACTTAATACGCCCAAACAATATTATTTTAATGAGACCTAACCTGTTGTACCATGCCATTTTTATAACTTAACCTATGTCATTGTCTATACCCTAAAATTGAGCTATACAATTTGCCAGAGCCACGTTGCGTTATTAGCGACAATGCCAGAGCAGCTGTAATAAGGAAATTCAATTGAACTCAAGCTCTTGATATATCCACCCTTTGTTCAATTACATCAATGAGTTAAGTATGTTGTTGAGACCTATTTGTACTACATTGTATGAACATTACATTGAGCATTACATTACTGAGCAGGAAATTTACCTTGGTGTTTAAGTAAATGCAACAATTATTTACTATGTAGTTTTGGTTTTATTGGCAATCTGTGCAGCTCATTCAACCGTAACATTCAACCGTAACTTGTTACTTTCTATGTCCTAATGTTACAACACTGTGTCTACCATATTTTGACATAATTTGGTTTCAGCTAATGCCAATGACTTTGGAAATCTTTTGAAATAATATTATATTGGTTAATTTGGTACTTTTTATATGGAAGATGCAAACATGTAAACTTGTAGCATTGCGATTGTTTATAAAGTACACTGATCACAGCGAAGTTTTATACAGGATTATTCGTCTTAACTACCTCACAGGACTATATAATTACTAACTTCACAAACAACAACTTTGCAACTGTTCCATGACTTTTAATAACTCGTCATATTTTACTTTTGTACAAAAATAAAATTACTGAAAAAAGTTGCTCTAAACGGTGATAACTCTGTGCAAAATGCAGGAGCAAGAGTGGTGATTTTTAAACCCTATATTGATGTTTTTGATCTTGGCAATATCAAGACTTTTCAAACTTAAATCATTTACGTAAACATTATTTAAAAAATTACTTAAATTTTGGGTCCAAGCATGCCCTTTGTTATGTGAGAAACCCAGTATTTAAATGAAAAAAAAAAAAAAAAAAAATTATAAATAATTTTTGATTTTATAATTTCAGTTAATAAATAATTGATTAAAACCTCCTGTGTAGGCTGCCCGAATGCCTAACATAAGCATGGAAACATACTTTTGAATTAGTCTCGCAAGTTGTTTGCCCAGGTGTTTTTAAGACTGCACAGAGTTAAACTTTTCTTCCTGGGATACAGAAATGCCTCGAGTTTGAAAGCCCTAATAAGCAGTACAAGTGTAGTAAATTTTAATCACAATAAGCCATTTTTGCTGAATATTTACATTACAATACTTGGATCACATATTTTTGCTAGTAGGTAATGTCTGTAAATTGCTTTTGTAAAGTCTCACTGTGATATAATTGAATTGAAGTAAATAACTTGCATCACAATTACATAATCTACTTGACATAATGCATTCTTAACAAACTAGGGTTTTTGCTAAGTATTGTAAAATAATAAAAAAGATAATAACAATTTCTTTAGCATATACAGAATAGCATTTTGTTTTTTAAGCGACATGTTGAACAACTTGTATGCCAGGTGGTTAGCCTATCTGTAACAGTCACCGTTTAAATCGCAAAGATCTTAGGGGCACTGCCACTGCCCGTCACCCTGAGAGACAAGTTGACGAGTCCCATGTATCTGTAATTTCACCCTCTCACACCCACTCTTACCCTTCGAAACCAGAATGCAGTAATGCTCACATTATTGCATGGCGGCTGAAATAGGTAAGGTGGCAGTGCTTCCCTGGATGAACTCTTTCGCCAGGAGCTCTACTGCTAGTAAAAAAAAGGAAATATTTGAAAGTGTTCTTAAATGAGGAGGGAAATAAACTGCCTTTTTTTGTAAATTAGCTGCTGTAATGGCTTATTTCAATTACATACTAATTATTGTTTGAAATGAAGATATTTGAGTTTAGTATATATTCTCTGTCAACTAATATTGTCCATAGAGTTGCAAGAATTGGAGAGGATGTGGGATATATTTTTCTATAGCCATTGTAGCAATAAACATTTTTGACGTAACTTATGCCATTCTTCCATGAGGAGCGCGATTTATTTGTCTATGTTATTGCAGTCATTCAGTAGTCAATTTGTGTGTTATGCCAATTATTGTGTCAATTCTTAATGTGCATATTTCAGAGGCATTATGTCTCAAGCTGGAGGCAGAAGCGAAGATGAACTCAGAAGCACGGTCGTGCACGGGTACCCTCGCCGTGGACCCTCGCTCAAGGGACATTAAAATCGCCAACTTCTCAATCACCTTCTATGGTAGTGAGCTGCTACAGGACACATTGCTTGAGCTCAACTGTGGCCGGAGATATGGGCTTGTCGGATTGAATGGTTGTGGTATGTACTATGTGGTATGTCGCTAGTATATCTTTAGGTTCTTTTTCCATTTTGGTATGTAGTTCTTGTATTGCATCTACTTGTCGTTTTTTACTAGATTTGGCCAAAATCAACATAAATAATCTGTGTATTACAGATGCATGTGAATCATGTTTGTATATCTATTGTATTTACTAATCTATCAGGTTCTCTCTCATGTAAGGGTACTTAGTAGTTAATGACGGCGTCCGGTAACGCCGACGCCAGTGATATACACAATAAAAAGGGTATGACAATTTAATACATATGATTGGGATGGGAGTCATAGACCCTCGAACTTCGGTGATTTAAGTTAAATATTGTAGAAGTGATGTTGCCACGTGTCTGGGCTGGTTACCGCAATTCGACATCAGCGTGCGCCTGTTTGGTGGTTAAGTTACTATAACCCCTTAATAAATGTTTATAATAATTACATAATAATTCCGGCTTGCTATGCTTTAGTAGATACAATTGACTTATTTTATTGTACTCTGAGTGAATTCCAAAGGCTTGTCTTACTTACTTACTTATAATATCGTCGCTTAGCAAAGTACATTGCTTAAGTGATTTCAAGTAATTTTATAGGGACATGAAAAACCTGCATATATTATTGTATAAAAGGTTTCAGTTTTCCAACAAAAAAGAATCATCGAAATCGATTCGGAGTTATTGTGTAACTTACATACAAAAAAACATAGTCGAATTGAGAACCTCCTCCGTTTTGAAATTGGTTAATAAAACAGTAATAAGATCGTAAAAGACGTGCGTTACGCGTCAGCGGTCCGAGCGTAGAGCGAAACGCGCAACGTCTTTTTTCTGATCGGCTCAAGCAGATTCCGAGTTAACAACTGTGGTGACTCCCATCTTCGCTCTCCCATTTTCTCAAAAGACGTATGGCATGCTGAGTTGTATAATTACTTGATGAAGTTGTAAATGTATTGCCCTATTTATGACAAAATGTTGCTACACCTCTACAAAAATGCCCTAATAATTATGTTATACATTTTACAAGAAAGCACAAATACAATAATTTAGGCAAAATATGAATGACAATGACTAAATTGAATGGTTTACAATTATAAAAAAATATTTATGATTATAGACCGTGGAATTTAGTTACAATGCTTTGGTAATTATTATCAATTTCATCCATAAAAGTACACTATTCTTGAGATCGATTTAACCTTGTTAAACAAACTTGATGTTAATCCTAGTCTAGGTCTTATATAATAAACTTAAAATTAATACGTTTGGAACCACAGCATTACAGCCTGGTTAGAACAAAAAAGAAGCACTGTTTACCTGAATATTGTAGTAATTATTGTGCTCGTGTGTATAGGAAAGTCGTCACTGCTGTCGGTCTTGGGGCGACGTGAAGTACCGATCCCGGAGCACATCGACATCTTCCACCTGACGCGCGAGATGCCCGCCTCCGATAAGACGGCGCTGCAGTGCGTTATGGAGGTGGACGAGGAACGCGTGCAGCTGGAGCGACTTGCCGAGTCGCTTGCGCATTGCGAAGATGACGGTTAGTTTTTTATACTGCCTTTACGGCTTTTATTCTTGAGACGGCAGAGGAAACGGGTGCGTCTAAAATTGTACACGACTCGGTGTGTGCCTGGCGTAAGGATTGTCCCAAGTTCTCAGCTTCAAATTAGGACTTTCTCTGCAAAAAGTAGTTTCATGGACAACTGGACCACGGCTGTTTGATTTACTCTACTATTCAATAAATACCTTTTTAATAAAAAAACCGACTTGTAAAGTTCATAGAATTACATCTATTTGCTAAGTTTTATTGAAAGCGGTTATCGGAAAGTGCGCGAAACCGGTTTCATCCCCTAGTTTGCCGGCCTTAGAGGCGGAATATTGGTTTTCAAATTTAAATGGGATCAATGCTGAGGTAACCTCTTTCCAATAAAAAAAAAAATCATCGAAATCGGTTCACAAATACCGGAGTAATCTCGTAACACACAATAGAAAACTAAAGTCGTAATGAGAATTTCTTCCTTTTTTAAATCGGTTAACAACAGAGAAATTTTATACTCAAGTGCATTACGTATGTCTGATCAGAGTCGCAGGAGCAGCTGCTGGATGTGTACGACAGGCTAGACGAGCTGAGCGCGGACACGGCGGAGGCTCGTGCTGCTAATATCCTGCACGGGCTGGGATTTACAAAGTCAATGCAGCAGAAGGCCACCAAGGACTTCTCTGGAGGTCAGTACTAATCAGTCGTAATAGAAGCATCTTTGGCATATTAACAATCGTTCATTGACGCGAATGAATGGTTCTCGAGCGTAGACTACGTATTTAAATATATAAGAATTTAAATTTCTGATGATTGTAATCATGCCATTGCGATGTCCCAAGTATTAATTTATTACTGAGTTAAATATTCAGGATTTAAATAAACATACTCAGTAATAAACAAACTCGGTAATAAATTAATACTTCGAATTCCATTAAAAACTCGAAAGTCTCGCCTAAACCTTGATGAAGATGTATCACGACACAACGTAGTTTAATGTCAAACGATATAATAACATGGTATCGTAGCACTGCGTTCACTAATAGCTAAATTCACTTAAGCGGTCGGGTCCGTTTACTAAGCCACATGACAGCTCACATCATGAGCGATATTAGTTAGATAGACTTTGATTGATTTAGCAGTGTAGGTGAAACTTTATTGAGTGTTTTGGTTCAGGGTGGCGCATGCGCATAGCATTAGCGCGCGCACTCTACGTGAAGCCGCACCTGCTGTTGCTTGACGAGCCCACCAACCACCTCGACCTTGACGCCTGCGTTTGGCTCGAGGAGGAACTTAAACAGTAAGTCTGTCACCACTCTCACAGCAAGTAAACCTTCAGGTTTCAGGAAGTCTGCAATGTTAATAAATAATAATTAATTCATGACCTTGGTGAGAGCTGGTTAATTGTCTTTCCTGTGTTCGTGTACAGCTACAAACGCATCCTGGTGCTGATTTCGCATTCGCAAGACTTCTTGAACGGCGTGTGTACCAACATCGTACACATGTCCAAGCGCCGGCTCAAGTACTACACGGGCAACTATGAGGCGTTCGTGCGCACACGCATGGAACTGCTCGAGAACCAGATGAAGCAATACAACTGGGAACAGGACCAGATCGCGCATATGAAGGTCATTATTACTATTACTGTTTATTATTATTACTGTTTACACTACAAAGTCCAAAACTTAAATTGTCAACTTCAACGACACATACAAACTTGTTGTTTATTCACTATAAACACTAAATACAAAAGAAACCGTGACTCAATGAATCATGAAAAAATAGTAAGAAAAATGTAAAAAAATAATCGGATTTATAACCTGCTTACGCGTTTATTCTTATTTATTTATTTATCTAGGGACAATCAACAAATTAATTATAATATTTAAAACATAAATACGAGATTACGCAATACAAATAGACTAGTGTTATAGTGAGTCGTTAGTAAAGGTTGCTACACCATGACCCAGGCAAACACTATATGTACAATTATTACTCACATTTAATTACATATTGTATAGAACACAATATTATATACTTAACACAGTCGTAGCACATATTATCCCGAAAAGTACAATATTGGGGCTATTCAAGAAGAGTGAATAAGAATTTTTTAAACTGCGCCACTTACCATCACATTGTGGCCAAGCGTGCGTGAACCTTCACACAAACAAAACCTCGCGTAACATAAAATTTCGTACAATTGTTTTAATAGTGATGCAGCATGGATTCATTCTGTTCATGTAAATGACCTGTATTATATGTATCTTGTAACCAGAACTATATAGCGCGGTTTGGTCACGGTTCAGCCAAGCTCGCGCGGCAGGCGCAGTCCAAAGAGAAGACGCTGGCCAAGATGGTGGCCCAGGGCCTTACCGAGAAGGTGATCGACGATAAGACGCTCAACTTCTACTTCCCTTCGTGCGGGAAGGTGCCGCCACCGGTCATAATGGTTCAGGTAAGACATGACGCTGTGCTTTGTGACTGTATCCACGCTTTATGTGTTTCATTGCTTGAAATTCTATAAAGACAGCGTATTTACATTTCTTTCCTGAATGTTCTTTTATACCCTCAAAGTTACTTATTTTGGTCAAGCGTGAGTTGTCCATAAAAATGAATAAAATTGATCAAAATTTTTTTTTGTGCTTGTCGACTCACTTTTAAAATGTTGTCTAATATTTATTTATATTTTTTATATAAGTATACAGAAGTGCTACACTATTGTATTGCAGTGGGACGGGCTGAAAATTAAAAAAATATCCTGTACATATGACCAAGACCGTCCCAGAAACCATTCCTAGACTTTCGACTATCAATTAATTAACTATGTTTGTATATAGTCCAGTTAATGGTCACTTCCAGAACGTTAAATGATCTTGTAAACTGATTGAAAATATTTATTAAATAAAAGTAATATCACATTGAAAAAAAAATCTCTTTTTGCACTTCACGTTTTGTTACTGATTTTATAATTTTTAGCTTACTATTGGGTTGGATTAATAATATTGTATATTCCACAACACTACATATTTTATTTTATTCCATTAGGGGTTTGAATTAAAGTGAAAGGATTGATTTTGACGAACTTTACATTAATTGAAGTCGTCGAAAGTATAAAGTTAATGTTTGCTTTCAGGACGTGTCATTCCGATACACGGACAACGGGCCATGGATCTACAAGAATCTCGAGTTCGGTATCGACTTGGACACGCGGCTGGCGCTCGTCGGGCCCAACGGCGCAGGCAAGTCCACGCTGCTCAAACTGCTCTATGGCGATGTAAGTGTCCTATTTATTTATCTGTTTCAACTCAATATCAACGTCTGCTTATTATAGGTCTTCGTTTTTCATTTTCATCTCGGAATTAATTGTCACTTAGATGTATTAGTTAGATAAGTAAGGTATTGGCTGTCTAAAGCGTGAAACACATAGAGAGAGGGTGCGCGTTGTGTCGGGACTGCGGCGGGACCCGAGTGCGGGCGCGAGACGGGCATGCGGATCATATTGGACCACATGGAATTAGATCCGATGTGGTCCCGACCCGACCCGCATCCGATTCGCGCCCAACCCGCACCCGCTCTCTGTGTGTTTCACACTTAAATGCAATGTCGTCTGGTGTGAGATAAATGGATTATCTCCAACGAACTCGATTTTGAAGCGTTTCGGATTTTATGTTTATAATTCGATGACCTCGACAAACCAGCAGTTAGCACTGCGGTCGCTAGAGGCGAAGTCGTAAGTTTGATGTTCGTTAAAACCAATTTGGGGAAGTTTTCTAAATTGATTCTGTTCTCTTAGTTGAAAATTAAAAAATTGGTGTAAATTTTTTTATTACGAATATAATTAACTTTATTATGCCAGTGTTTCCCCACCACTAATTTTGTATATAATAAGCAACGAAGTGTTAAACTTTGAACAAAATATTTAGATTTGCAGTTCCAAATAAAAGTACTTTTAGTGTCTACAAACTTCCAGAAGTGCTATAATATGCCCTTTAAGTTACTTCAAGTGTAACTAGCGTAGAGCAATATAAAAAAACTTATCGAAGGTCCTAGTCGTTCTGAAAGTTCTGACGACCCTTAAGTCTCAAAGGTTTTACAATAAAACAATTAAATTCCCTGGGAATCGTCATTTTATTAGATTTTTCATTTTTAAAGTCTTCCGAACGGCTCTTTACAACACTTTTTTTTTAGCCATTTAGCACTTTGGGAGTTTTAGTCATTATCACATTGACCATTTTGCAACTTTGTTCTGTTTGAAACTTTGGTCATTGTTATATTTGGACATTGGTCAACGAAAGGATTTTTAAAAAGAGAATATATTGTGCATACAACATAATCTTAAAATACTTAAAAATAAACGGGTCGTGAAGAGGCGTTTGTAGCCGTGCATGGTGGCTAGATCGGTGATTGTATGAACACTGCACTAGATTCACCTTTGGATTCCACTTTCCATTTAACGTAAGGTCGAGTATAATTAGCTGTGTGTCATGTATTAAAAAATCCGGAGTGTTCGATGACTGCGCAGTGGTAATGAAGAATATATTGGCTAACGTTCCGTAGTTGGTACCTACAACGGGCATGATCCGCAAGAACTCACACCTGCGCATCGGACGCTATCATCAACACCTCCACGAGTTACTTGACTTGGACCTCTCCCCGCTCGACTACATGATGAAGGAGTTCCCCGAGGTGCGCGAGAGAGAAGAGATGCGCAAGATCATCGGTCGGTATGGGCTCACCGGACGACAGCAGGTATGTTGAGGCAAAAATACGAATACGATTGGTAGTCGAATTCGATGCGAGAGTCCGTCTAAATGGCGTCACTTTTTGGTCCGAATCCGCGGTTCTATATCTTGGTTGACGCGTCGTTTGATAATTTAAATGTTGATAGATTTAAAAATTTTGCTATTGTTTATTTATGCATTTATTGCATTGTCACACTTACATTATTTTACGTACAGTGGCTTGTAAATGTATATGTAACACTCTGTAAGGGCACAGTAAAGTGATTGTTACAGTTGAGCGAGACGTTTGTAACTTTTAATCTCGACTCCAGCAGTTAACACTACGCCAACTTAAAAATTGCAACTTTCATCAAAACTTATAAAAGGTCATCTTGCGATTTTTTTTTTTACTTTTCAAACACATATTATTCATTATAGATTGTAAAATATATGATATTACTTATGTATTATTGTGATTTTAATCTAAATTAGTTAAATAATTTGGCATTAAAAATGTAAAACGGACAAAATTTGAATTAGCGTAGTGTTAATTGCTGGTGTTTATCTAATTCGACAATTAAAGTTCTTTTGAGTTTTGCCTACTTGAAAAATACGCTACGTTGTACCAAATTGCACTATGAAATGGTTGTAATGATTTACTGATATCTTAGAGCATATAGGACGGAAGGCGCTATTTGCGTTATATCCCGAACAACATTTTCTGCCACTTTTTGAGGGGCGAGGGGGTAGTACTACAAGCAAACAGCTGCACTCAAATGCAATATTGTATCACTATGGTCTCACACAAACAAAAATCGACAACACTAGCTTATTTTTACAAATACACAGATAAAACACACATTCATGTCATGTCCGTACACAGAATAGGCCTTAAAAATAAAGCGATTATCGATATATATTACGTACTGGTTAATCCTTAGACTATGGAAACTAAAGGACATGTTATGTTGACAATATAAATCAGAGGTTATATGTATATGATGCATTTCGACGTTGAAAACGTAAACATATCATTGTCTTTGTTTAACTCTTGCATGCCGTCTAAAGCCAAAAGAGATAGCATTACATTGGTCTGTGTCAAACGCGAGAATCGAAAATACGTAACATCTTAAATGCCAACCGTGTCCATTTCGCAATACATGAGGTACATGATACGGTTGTCAAAGGGAAGTACGTCAAAAGTCAAAACAATTGTTTTTCCAAATGTTTTATTGAATTATATATTAAAATGGACAAAAATATTGACAGTGAGAACAATTACGTATTAATAAAAATTCGTCGCTGCATCATTACGGGATGTTGCATTTGAAAAAGCGAAGATCGACCGAATGTAACATAGTACAGGCATGTTGTAATTTTCTGTCTATAAATCACACAAAAGCCCAAATAGATTAGACATGTTTAAGTAGTTTATTCATAAGTCTTGCCACATTTGATTTGGTTTCTTCAGATTTTAACTTAACTTTGAATGTAACTAGATTACATGATAATGCAATTCCATCATTAGTTTTATTGGTAAATAATTTGATATTTAATTTAGATTAAAAAATACTTATTTACTAGGCATTCTCAGTTCCTGAAAACAAAATTATCCACTCGTTTCCGATTTTTTCCCACTGACAACTCTAACTACAAAAAATTCTTATTTTATAAAGTCGGCAATACAAAGACCATGTTGGTCTAATGTTGCCGGGTGAAGGCCAATACCAAGGTATAGACAGCCTATTTGCCTTGTCTTGCCTTGCCATCGTTCGGTGTCACTCGCCTAGCTGACCAAGTAAAGGCGAGCGCTAACATGTATAGAGATCGTTTGACGTGGCTTGTCAAAACTCCCAGTCGTTCGTGACTACTTGTCTCACTTCGGAGAAGTGTCGATTTTTCTGCACAAATCAAACTAACTGTCTCATGTTACATCTCCTGTTAAACCATGTTTTAAAGAATAAACGTATGATAATAATATCATTATTGATAATATTACTACTTTCATTTATTTTCAAAATTAAATGGATGTATTAAAGATTCACTTAAATGAGTCACTGGTATTCATTCTATACCAATGCATAAATACAAAGATACAAAAGCTTAACTATTTGGAATCTGTTTAAAAATTTCTCTATGAAAAATGAATCTTGAAGTTGGAAATGTATAGGATTTATATTTCAAAGTTTTCTCCTTTTTAAATACTGTCAAATTACAAATATATTTTTTTCTGTGCAAATTCACTTTTCGTAATATTTGAGTATTTGTAAACGCAAAACAATAAATTCAAAATTTCATGTGACATTCCCGGATATTGCCATATAACCTAAAATATTCCCAAATTGAATATTTATCTACTTTAATTAAATCTTTGCATGTCGACAATGACTTGTCGATAGATTATGGTACGACACTACAGAAATCTGCCATTAGTTCGTTCAATTTTTATTTAGGTATGCACGTTCATTCCGTAGTTAGGGCAGCTCCTTTCTTTTATTTTTTTTCCATCCTCTAAGGGTCTAATCACGTATATGAAATATGTAATTCCACCCTTGGCTAGACTGTATGAAGACGATTTATTTTTGCAATTTATTATTATAGTAATAAATAAAATAAATAAATTATAAATCTGAAAATAGCTGTGTTTCTCTGTCAGTAGTTCTGACGTGCTGTAAGAAATGTATCGATGTTTCAAATTTCAAGATTCCAACTAAACGTAAACTCGAAGTTTCATAATCTCGGAAACCGAACAAAACCTGGGGATTACAAAAATTCGAGTAAACATTATTTCAGGCAAATGTATTTTCGTACTTCTGATTGATAACTCCAAACAGTATAACGAATACAACAATATTTTGTTATTTTTTTATTACTAACATTTCATAAAAAGTCAATTTAAAAATAAAATTAACATTAAATGAACTCTGTAGTTTCTTTGTTCTAAATCTAAATATTTCAATCGCTTGTGGTTCGAAAATTGAAATTGACGTAACGGGTGTCTTTCTGTCTTTTGCGCATAACTTGTGTAGGATCGGAACAGTTAGCTATTTGGTTATTTTGATTGTTTATGTAATAATTTTTTTATTTTCTTACAGTACGACATCATTTATATTAAACAATTACAATTTATTTTTATTATTTATAATTTATTACATTATTCAATTAATCAATTTTGAATAAACGTCGTTACATAATCTATCGATAAAAATAGGAGCTAAAAGAGCGCGTCGCTTTTCTGTAACAAAAAACAGCGTCCTTGAAGCACAGCACTATTTGTCTATGGTTGACCGTTGAAAAAAAAAATCTTAAAATAGACAATTAGCATTTAATGTAAAAAAATAGGCTTATGTATGGAATGTAATTCCACCCAAGACTGGATGCAGCAGAGATTTTTTGCAAGTTCGTATAATGCAAGACGACATGTTTCGACATGTTTCATTTAAGTAAGACTTAAAATAGATAACAAGGACAACAAGATAAATAAATAATAAAGACAACTTTCTGAAATCCATTACCTGTCCATAATATAAACAAATATAATAATAATATGAAATTAATGCAGAGCTTTACGTCTGAAATTCTTTCTTCTTATCGTAAGTGTTCCAAAACAGTATAAACGATATTTTTTTTAAATCCCAACAAAAACTACGCGTGGGTCACTTGGCACTCAGTCAATTAAGTACCTTAAAGGCGTTTTAGAAAAATGCGACAATTTGTCCAATGTCTTTAATGACATATTCATGAAAACGCTAATTTTTAACCAATAGACTTTAAAACGCACAGGACATTGGCGAAATCGCCATTTTTTTTGTATAATTTTTATAATAATACTAATCTACCGTACATAGTTATTTTTACTTGACATTGGCAAATTCATTGATTATTTCGATGGGGCCATAACATTTAAAAGAAGAAGAACCAATAGACGGGCCCTTATCGTTGATGAAGTGATAAAAAAAATTAATGGTTTTTAGTGTAATAAAATTGATTGTCCAAATATAACTGTGGTTCAGGTGTGCCCGATGCGGCAGCTGTCAGACGGGCAGCGGTGCCGGGTGGTGTTCGCGTGGCTCGCCTGGCAGACGCCCCACCTGCTGCTCCTCGACGAACCTACAAACCATTTGGACATGGAAACCATCGATGCTCTAGCCGACGCTATCAATGACTTCGACGGCGGCATGGTGCTCGTCAGCCACGACTTCAGGCTTATCAATCAGGTGCTTTAAACTTCCTGTACAGCACTTTATCTCCAAACCATGATCTAGATTAGTATTTTATGTAGGCCTTGTAGGTTAAACTTTAAAAATGTTTCTAGCACTATTTGCGCCGAAAAAGATAAAAGTTATTATTTTTAAGTGAGAAGTCATGGCCTCTCCCAGCATCCCTCTTAGAAGCTACATTGCTCCTATTTTTACTTGGCCAAGTATTCACCACCTTTGTGTCAATCAGATACCGTACTTGGCAAAGATAATGTGGTCTTTATGGTGGTCGTCTGACAAAGTGAAGCCAGCTACGTCTTATAATGTCTAGATCATGTATATTATATACAAGGTTATTTTTAAAATACAACCTTGCAGGACTATATTACTAACATCCTAAACAACCATTTTTGTTCTATGACTTTTTACAAAATCAGTACTAAAAGTAAATCTGGCAACTCATCAGGCAAATTGACCTTATATCACTTTTAAATATCAACTCTCGTTTGCACTGAAATCACAAATAAGAAAGCTGAAATAATACAGCGCTAACAACTGACCTGTGTGTACGTCTCCGTATATTCCAAAAATATTCTGTATTTATTGTAATAAAGATAATATCTTTAACTGTGGGGGGGCTGTTCCATTCGGTGGTGTGGGAAAAACAGCAAAACATCTATTTACAAAACAAACTGAATCACATTTCATCGGTAATTAAATATGAAATATGCCATTTTGCAATTTTCGTCCATTAAACGCAAAGCTCAAGTTAAACTGGTCGATTGAAGTAAAACAATTGACGACACTCGTCAATTGTTTTACTTTTCCCGAATTCGAAACAATTGACACTCGTCAATTGTTTCGAATTCGGGCTGGCATATCGGAGCGCAGTTGTCGCCGTAATTAATGGCAGAATCGTTTTCAAACAAATTAAATGACATTTCGTCTCTATTTCTGGTTATATACTCGATGCCGTAGAGCGACCTATTTAAATATATTTGTTTTCATATGAAGGGAAAATTTGAATTCTTTTAATAATTCACAGAAGAAAAGTTGTTGTTTATGATGTTGGTAAATAGTCCTGCGAGGTTGTTAGTATTTTACTAATAACTCTGTATACATAATATCCTAACACAATTTTATATCCGATATTATATCTCAGATTTTTATTATAATTTAACAACTAAACAAAATTGCTAAAATGATGAAACATCTTTCAAGTGTTAACTCTAATATAATGACGGGCCACTATTTTGTTTCCCGTGATCATATTATAGTAGGATTTAATTAAAATTTTAAACCATACCTCTAAATATATAACTTTTGCGTTACAAGTAAATGTTACAAAAATTTCAGGTTGCGGAGGAAATCTGGATATGCGAGAACGAGACAGTCACAAAATGGGACGGTGGTATCCTCAAATACAAAGACCATCTCAAGTCAAGAATTCTCAAGGAGAACGCCGACAACGCGGCCAAGATACGCAAATAGTGAAATGCTTAGCCTATATATACATTATATTATCTTTAGGGCCCCTGCACACATACCGAAAAAGTAGGTGGCTCAATAGATGCGTTCAACTACAAGTACGAGAGAGGGAATCGACTGATGCTCGTACATGTGGGGCCCCTTATAAAAATTGCATACCACTGTGGGGAAAGAAACCTATACACACGGCTTAACTTCAACTACGAGTTTGAAAAACAGACTCGACTGCATATATCCAACTAATTGTTGTCACACAGACGTTCAAGCCAATCTTTAAGAACTGACGTAAGTCGAACAGTGTGTAGATCCCATTTGATGTGATAACAAGATCAACAGCGTCCTCAAAAAATAGTTGCATTACAATGTTTTATAGTTTATATATTATAATAATATACAATTTAGTTGTAATCATCTGTATGAGTTTTCAATTTATAGAATGTTTGCCATTGTTATTTCTGTCGACAACTTCCCGATTTTGTAAGCTATGAAAGATACAACATTTATACCCTACTCTCTTCTGTTCTGTGTAATATGACAGGTCTCTAGTTGAAAATGCCGATTACCACAACAGTGAGGTACAATCCTGGTATGACTGACATAGTGAGATTATTTCTAAGTGATGCCGCGTAGGCTTTTCTGCGTCTTTAATATGTTGTTGCTATCTGCACATTTCCTATACCTAATAAATAGTAGAATATGTTCCGCCATCATGTACTTAAGAGCTAGTATAGTGATTCGCTTCACGTTTGTTGAGGTCTTGTTACCGAATTGTTGAATGTTATGTTTTTTGTTCAATAGGAACGGTGGACCATAGCTAGCTGTATACAAAATTTGAAAATTACTAATTGAAAATGGAAACTTACGATGCTCACATTGAGTTTAATATCGATAAGTGACAGTTTATGTATGTAAGATGGCCGCTGTGCGTACAGCTAAAATTAGTTTTAAAAGTTGCTCTGAAAGGTGAATTACCAGGAGTTCATGTGAACAATATTCGTGTAGGTTTACATATATGTGTTAGTATGCGGCTAGTGTGATAGAGGCTTTCAATGTCATCTGTTGGATAATGGGGAAAAATGGTTTAGTTTCTGTTTTCATCTACAACTCATCGATCCTATACAAAAATGTCACGGAATATTTTGATTTGCCATCTGTTGGCACAATAGTGAACTACGTTATAGACACCTGCGGCTGAGCTGTCAAAAGATAATTTTAACTCGGAATCGGCTTAAGCCGGTCAGATAAAGTTTGACGTCCTTACAATAAGAGTGAAAAAGATGTTGCGAGCGTCTCTTCCACTCGAATTGCCGACGCGAAACGCATGTCTCTCGCTCTTATTACATGAATATAAACTTTTTCTAGCCGGGTAACGGGCGCAGTGGCAGTGCCTCTCAGACCTTTCTATTTTCGATTTATAGCTCTGGTGTCACTACAACTGTTACGAAGTGGCGTGTCGTGTTACCATTAGGTGCATGACTTGTTGTCCGTCACTAATAATCATAAATCTTAAAAGACAAGCTGTATGTAATACCTAACCACTCAAAACATCACATAAATTTTCGATAATTCATCTTTTCTAAAGTACGTTTGCACTTCACCCTCCCAATACACTTTTTAAGGTGCTCCACAGTACTGGTCTATAAGTATTCGCTTCATTTTGCCGTCTGAAAATTTAAACACCGACACGCTTGCATTTAAAGTACTAGTATGTATGTAAATCGACCGCTGACTCCCAAAATAATAAATTAAGTAGCTTAATCGTTAGCTTAATTTTAGCGTAGAGTTAACAAACAGCAATTAAAATAATCATAGATATCATGAAAATATTTACAATATGATATCATATAGACACCGCTATGCCTTTGATTACAAATATAGATACGTATATTTATTGTGACTTCGCGAAGTTTGATATTGATACTAGCATTTAGAGGTCGAAAAGTAACGTCAGATTTAGAGCGCTCCTGTAATGCGTATTTCGCTCCGCACGCGTATCTACTCCGCATGTGTCAATCACATCTAAGAGTTGAAAATATGTTTTATTGTTACGATTAGTAATTGGAAGCGGGAAGCATTCGACATGCATGCACCATAATAAATTCATTAGAAAAACGCTTGTGGAGTAAAACCTATGTGACACAAAAATTAGCCCTAGTTAGAATCCATTGTCCTATATAATATGTAGTAAGTATGAAGTCCAGAACACATATTATTTATTTACTCACGAGGCTGAGGCGGTTAATGGAATAAAGAGGACAGAAAACAGACAGAAAAATAAGAAATGTTGTATATAGCATCAAAAATACATCAAAAAAGGAAAGAAGTTTTCTACCTATAAGACTACGAATAATAGACCTAGACATAACAGGTTGAGGCAAACAATTTTAAAATTTTGGTAGACTAATAACGAATTCAAATATTCTCGATGACGAACAACGACAGTCAGAAGAACAAGACAAACATAATAGAAGCAAAGTGCAACTGGCAGAATTATTGCTAAGCAGAAATTTCTTCTAGGCGACCTTTCAATGAAGTTAAAATATATGATAAAAAGCATTAACTTGTATTAGTAATAGATGAATAGTCCAGATTATACACACACCAACATATTTAGCGGTACAAAAACAGTGAGAATATAAAGTACTAAAAAGTAACAATTTTAACATAGCCTTCATCGACTTTTGTTGGAGAAATGGAAATTAAAACAAACTGCATATTTTTACATTTTAAATTAGATTTAGGAGGTTAAATGGTCGAAATTTTAGAAATTGAAACCGCTTAACATTGTTTTATGTTAAAAAAATCTTAACTAAAGTTAACGAAATTTAAAAGAACGCAAAGTCAACCTTGTACCAATTGATACACTAATTAAACCAAATGAATGGAAAAAGTGACTTAGATTATATATTTTTTTTATTACGTAGATTATTTTTTTAGTTTCAAATTAGTTCTGAAATAAAGAAGGCCAGTCTTTTGAACAAAACAGTGTATTATAGGCCTACTGCTTAACTGAGTCGGTTCCTTAGGTAGCTGTGCTATGCGGGAGGAGTGACAGTTTACGTAACGGTTACGTCACGCTGCAGACAGGATAATTTCAACAAGATTCTGCTGATAATATTCAATAACAAGTTGATAGAAAATAGTGCCAATTATGAATTAAATAGTTGACAAATTTAGTAGGCACTTTTTTCAATCAACATGCAACTTGCAAATTCAGGAACCGGTTATGTTAAGCGGTAGGCCTGTCATTTGGTGTTTTCGCAAGTGCTCCGCTAAATATGTACCTTCTGTCTGTCGTACAAGGATCTGTAAGAGAGAATATAATAAAGGTTTGTAAGTTAGCTGTATAGAGTATATAACCAAATAGAGACGAAATAAGGGCCATCCGTCCTTGGCGCAACTCATCAGACAAACGGGCCTTATATCACTTAAATATCAATGAAATAGTACAGCGCCAACAACTGACCATTCCAATAATATTCTGTATTTATTGTAATAAAGATAATATTTCTAACTATGGGGGCTGTTCCATTCGGTTGTGTGGGGAAAACAGCAAAACATCTAATTACAAAAAAAAAAACGGAATCACATTTCATCGGTAATTAAATATTCAATATGTAATTTTTCAATTTTTGTCCATTATAGCAAAGCTCAAATTAAACTGGTCGATCTGAAGTGAATCAATTGGCGACACCCGTCAACTGTTTCGAATTCGGACTGGCCAATCGGAACGCAGTTGTCACCGTAATGATATGGCAGAATAGTTTTCAAACAAATTAAATGACATTTCGTCTCTATTTCTGGTTATATACTCGATGGTTAGCTGTCTAATTGAGTGTCTTGTCAGTTTATAGTATATTTATAAATAAGTGCAGAGCAATATTATAGTAACATATTTGTCTATATTAAGTCTGCAATTTTCACGAGCGTATTTAATACTATAGTCGAAAATTTTGTCTCACGAGTTATTCGTTTTGGTGTCAACTTGCATAGCCTTGTATATCAATTTGCCTCCATGACACATTTTTGCCATTGTACATAATTTATATTGAATTTACAATATACCATGACGCTTAATTATTACAAAGTAAAGATGCGAATTAACTGATCATTGTCGTGTAATGAAATTACTTATAGTTAAATAACAGAACACCAATACACCGTCGTTAAGCAATATTATGAACTAATAGAAAGTTAAAGTATAAGCTTTGTTACTGGTTTTATACGTAGAAATAGTTTAGACACAACATTATAGGAGGTTAAATGCTATAGCTACAGGCGAGGGCCACAGGTGTTGTAGTACCTTTATTCGGTAAGCTTAGTAGGAAACAATCGATTTTGTAGTAGTTACAAGCGCTAGAAATAAATATTGTCGAAATACATAACTTTGGTAGCGACAAGAGGTGGCGAGAAAATATACTGTGTGGTTTGCCCAATCATGTGACGTTTAATGTACTGTTCGCTATCGAGCGTGATAGGGTTTTGGACACGCAATTTTTTTAAATGCATTCATTGACTCGCATGGACATGTTCATCTTAACGAATTTCAGAAATACGTGGTGGGTTGATGCAAGGTTTCTTTAGGCAAAATTTACACTGCCGCGGATTACACTTCGAAGCCAATATTTGTAATAAAATTGTATTTAGCGTAATGAGTTTTGTGTCAATTGTATAAAGTACAAATATACGATACGGCTGCGCGAAGTTTCTCTGGAACATGCGCTATATGTTTTTTGGCTCGCATCTAGTTGTACGTTACACAATTACACAACAGGTTACATAAATTCACTTCCATTGTGTTCCGTGATAATGTAAACCTTGAAAACCAGAACAGACCACTAGAAGAGATTGTGGTGAAATATCTTATTAACCCGTCACGCAACCAGAGACACAGTGTCCATAACGACTTTCCTATTTTAGCGTCCTAGAGCCACACGGCGTATCTTGGGGCGCGTACAGATCTGGCGAATGCGCTGCGCGCACGCTGCACACTTATAAAAAATATTTTTATTTTTTTTACCAAAATCGCTAGGGACATCTGTATACTGTATAGTCTGTATACTAAGGAAGTCGTCGTTTACTGTACGGCGCTACAGCGACATGCTTAGGTCGTGGTTGGGACGTTGTGACTAACGTAAATTACGTATGTAGTTCCCGAAATGTTGTGTGCGCCGATTCCACTTAATGGCATATGTTTGGAGAAGAATAGAACAATCGAATCAGTCGGGTTGGTGCGGCGCATGACATCGGTATACTGTAAATATCGAGGATAATATGGCGAAAAAAAAATAAGATATAGATTATAACTAATAAGAAATTACAACGAATACATAGTTACTATATTGTTACAAATACATTAATTAATAAGTATATTACTGAGTGAAGAAAATCAATGAGACATGAATGGGAACTACCTTAAATACTTAAGATTTATATCCAATTTTACTTTAAGTAACGAGTGTCCCCCTTCATGTTCCATTGATTTGTTCAACCTTGTATAAGTAAAGTATACGTGTATAACACTTGCATTTACACCCATTAGAACAGCTTTTATCGGGCCACATACATATGTCATGTTCGCTATATTACAATGGCCGCAACATTTTTGAGTGACGTCCCTCCCCATTATATAAATATAAAACATAAACCCTAAATAAATTAATATATTATAAAAAAAAACTAAAAACTTTACAATGTCAGAACGTGGCCAGAAACTACGTGCGCGTGAGTCGGGGAGTGTGGGGGTTAAGATTTTAAAAACTTAGAAGAGCTTGGGTAAGAGGTACTTTCCCAGCACTAGTGTTTCGGGCCGCACATACAAGCCGCAGGTCATGACTGCATTAGAATGACATCAGACCGTATTACTCTGTTGAAATATTTGGTCAAAACAGGAGTTTTCTTTTAAGACGCAATAGATAACCCGTTCTAGCTAATAACAGTCATCGATCCAACTAACATTTCGAGAACTATATTTAGGTCTATATCAGGGTTAGTTTTTAATCGAGTATCGATTCTGTTTCAGCATTCTTGTCGAATACCTTATTGTGCGCGCGACTTGACGACCGCTTATGGGGTCATTGGTGTTCCACGAAAATGTTCGAGGGTAATTTTCTGATTAGTTTACTCTAGTAATCTTTACTACTTTCGGTGGCAATTTTTGTTATTGAAATGTTAAATAATATTTCAGGATATTACACTCAAATGTTAAGTAATACTTTATGATAATATTTTAGAATACGTAAATAATAAAAATTGCCACTGAAGTTAGGTAGAGACAGAGAAAACTAACCTGAAAATTACCCTCGAGAATCTCGTCGCGCCAAGAGTCATACGTCAGCGGTTTTGCGTGTGGGTAACCCCTATTGGTTACGTATTTGTTATTAAACTGATGGGTACAAAATAAAAATCCCTTCAAAACTTTGTTGCTATGAAGTCTGTTAACAAAGAATATGAAAATTATATTTAAACAACAGTAGTTGCCGTTAGCGTTTACGTATATAGCAAATTGTTTATAGGTTTTACGCACTTGTAATAAGAGTGTAGTGGTCTCGACAATGACAGAAATTTTCTTATTGTTCTATCGTAACTTCAACTATTTTACTCTTGATAAAGCTTCGCGTGCATGATGATGCAAAAGCAATGGTAACGTGCAAATCTCAATAGTACATATTCTCAGTACAGAGTACTAAAAAACCGACCTCAAAAGTTATTGGAATTACATCTATTTGCCAAGTAGTAAATGGGACCACTATCAATAAAAAGTTATCGCGTGACATACATAAAAAAACAGTCAAGAACTCCTCCTATTTTGAAGTCGGTTAAAAAGTCTTACTACACGATGGAAAAATATATACCTATCATATAACCATCCCAATAAGGTTTGCAGACTTATAAAAGTAACTTTCGTCGGCCTCAACCGAACAAAATAGTCTTTCCGTATCGGAAAGTCGCGAGTTTTCTTAAGCTTTATACACATCGAGCCCGCCGGCCCGTCGACAAAGCTCGGCGGATTGGTGTCGGCGGCCTTATTTCTAATCTAATCCTATGATATGATTCTAGAAACAAGGCCGCTGACACCAACCCGGGCTGTGTCGGCGGGCTCGGTGTGCAGAAAGCTTTAGGTATCAATTTACAATTTCTCGCTGTAATATGATTGTATATTTGTTACACCTCCAGAAGCTTTTATTGTAATGATTATCGTTTAAATATTTTTTTTAAAGCTTTTACAGTGTCCTCCTGCAAAATAAAGGTTAACCTCAAGTTTCTCCACATAACTCTGATCTATGGCTACCTATGGGCTGACCATCCTTTTAGATCATGCTCAGAGCTGCGTCTACGTCATAATTTACCAGTTTGTTTTCATATTTACCGTGCCCAGGCTTTCGAGGTCATCATGACGTCCTGTGCTTTATTCGAGAAACCCATATTTTATACTTTAAACGGTTGCTACAATGATATTCCGTAAGTAGAAATATTTCTGTCATAGTCATAAGAAACTAATATAAAAGACCGTACACAGGATGGCCTTGATGTTAAACTATTTATGGAATTTTGTATTAATTAAAACATGGACTAGTTCATTATTACTTTATTATATTTATTGGTCTACACAGTGGATGCGAACCAAAATTGGATGAAAAACGAAGAAAAAGACACATTTTTCCCGAACGCAATCGCACGATTCATGCGTAGTACATACAATAATACAAGTATGTCAACTCTATACAAACGTTGCACAGTGATTTGTATTCATTAGTGCGTAAGACGACTTGCGTTATTTAACGCGAGTGCATCGCAAGATTATGCGAATGTGAGCATTCGTACACTGCACGCGGCGGTCGCGCACACATACAAGCCGCCGCGCTAACGTATAGTAACTTCATACGTTTGTATGGAGTTACTATACTTGTCTTATCTTAGTATGCTTCGTGCGTTTACATATGAGCCTACACGCATCTTTTTCTAATGTTAATAGCTTTTCATTCGCCAGTCAGTATAGAAAATGTGCTATATGCGCCGTCTCACTGTATTTGTAGATAAGTATGTAAAAGACTGCAGTTCAAACCACAAAATAAATTGCTGCTAAGTCGGGATGCTTCCTCTTAGGATGATTTTTTGGTTTTGTAACACCATCTATGTACCTACTTAATTTTGAATATGAAAAATATTAAGTAGTCCAAAATGTTCTTTTGTATTTACTTACTTGTGTTTATCTCTGTGACATTATTTATCACAGGCAAATATTTAATTAAACCAATAAAATATGAAATAGACATATTGTTTTTTCGATTTTTCCCGCGGGACCCATTGCAAGCGAACCGCTGGTAGCGTAGTGGGTATTTTTTATAGTCTCTACCGTACTACCCAAGTATAGTGTATCATCTATGGAGATGCCTTTTTAAGAGTATGAAATTATGAATGATCTGGATAAATGACGTAATAAAATAGTAATAGGCGTACTCACATTCAACTTTGTCTAAGTGTCCGACGAGTTCACAGCTACGGGCTTGCCCACGGGTGTCTACATGAGTTGTTTCGATGTTGTTTTTGTTTATTTTAATGTGAGTAAATTTAACATTATCACTTTTGTTGTTTACTTATTCTCTTGATTTCTTTACAACGAATCTATCAGATGCGTACATCTTTCTGGTTTGAAAATATGGGCCATATAAATGTGCTCATGGTATTTGTTAGTAGGTCAACGATGATACCTAATAGAATTTTTAAATAGTTTTGAATATGTCACTTCTTTCCTTAAGGCTCAACTCACACTGGCGCAGAGTCGAAGCGTCGCGTCGCGTGCTGTTTTTCATCTACAACGCCTGGCGACGCGCGAAGCCGCTTGACTGCAACCAAGGGTCGACGCTTGACTCCATATTTCCATAACACAAATTTGTACCTTAATAATGGGAAAATAGAGATGAATATAGTATAGGCGAAAAACATGACGCGTCGCGACGCTTCGACTCTGCGCCAGTGTGAGTTGAGCCTAATACTTATTACTTACCATACTTCTTTATTAAAATGTTCCAAATTCAAAAATATTATGAAATTAAAATTGGTGTCAACAAGTGTCAAATTGTAATTGTCAAGAAGCATTTTCATTTGTTAAACTTGACAATTATTATAGAATAATAGTTTGTTAAATTGCTGTTACAAGTTCTGGGTGTAATTGTTGAATATAATGTATTTTTATATAAGACACGTCAGGATAATTTCATTATTGTAGGGTATAAGTTAGGTGAGCTTTGGTTTTTGTATTACTCGTAAAAAATACGTCAGTCTTGGCTTTCAATGTAATGAATAGTTATAACTGCGTATGAGCTGTACGGTTTTCATTTCCTGTCTCTCATGCCACATCACAAGGTAAGAAAATCCAAAGAAATGCTACTGAACAATAATAAAATTTTCGTTTTCGTGTAGTGAGGAAGTGGATAAGCTTTGTTACGTTCTAGGTCAAGTAAGGTCAAGGTATTGTCATAAATAAAGAGGACGATGGGGAAAGAGGGCGAAAAGGAGAAAGGGAAAAAGAAAAAGGATGAGGGGGCTGCGGGATTTATGAAGGACTTTTTGGCTGGTGGAATCTCTGCTGCAGTGTCGAAAACTGCGGTGGCCCCAATTGAGCGAGTCAAGCTATTGCTCCAGGTGCAGCATGTCAGCAAACAAATACCAGAGGACAAAAAGTACAAAGGTGAGCACAGGAAACATTTTCTGTAGTAAATATTTGACGTAGTTATGCTTTAAATTGTCGGAATTTCTTTATAATTTGTGTCATCGATTTGGCTCAAGTCTATTGAATAAATCGGGTGAGAAGTAAAGGATTTTAAGTCCATACTTTGGAATTTAGATGTTTCTTACATTACAATAGTCAAAGATATTAAGTTTTATCGTTTTTTTTATTTTATTGAACTTACTTGACCATATGATTAATTAGTAAAAAAAATACTATTTAGCATATAAGGTTCTTTACCTACAGAAATAAAGGAAGACTTAGGGAGTCACCACACTTATTGACACAAATCTGCATTAAGCCGTCAAACACTATGTCCACATAATAAGAGCGAAAATGACGTGCGTTTACGTCGGCGATTCAAGCGAAAGCGAAACGCGCAACGTCTTTTTCGCTCTTATAGCTTGGACATACAGGCTTTTCGACCGGCTCAAGGCGATTCCTTGTACATAAATGTGGTGAGTCCCTTATTGTACATTTACAGGGATCATGGATGCCTTTGTTCGTATTCCCAAGGAGCAGGGGATATCTGCGTTGTGGCGAGGAAATTTCGCAAATGTGGTGCGATACTTCCCCACGCAAGCCCTCAACTTTGCCTTCAAAGATCGATATAAGAAAATATTTCAGGAAGGCATAGACAAAGACAAGGAATTTTTCAAGTTAGTTTATATTCGCAAGAAAGATCGCCACGACATAGTGTAGGTTGCCTCTAATGAGGACTAGTGACCTGATGAAGACCGTATGCGTTGTTCAGAAGTTGACATCTTCCGGCGATTGTATGACTTTTGATTGTTTCTCTTAGTCGAGTATTTTTATTATATTATTCGTACTGCATTGTCGTGATGTCTGTCGCTCTTTTTTTATGTCGACTTACACACTACTGACTTAGTCAAAACAAGAATTAAAAGCCCCTGAAGGTAGTTTCATTGTCATTGCAAGTTAAATTAGGTAGAGTCGGTAATGAGCTTATTTCTTAGTCATAGAAAAAAAATCACATAAAACATCATTATTAGTATAAGTAATTAATTACCTAATATGTAATTGATGTACCTATGATGACCTACAACTTAGAATTAGTCCTCGTATTCATGACTCCTGACTACTCGTCATCACATCATCATGTTGCAGATGTAGTAAAGCGCGTAACAATTATGGTAATATAATTAAAATGAAATAAATTTATTCGCATTTAAATTTTCTTTCTTACTGTGCTAAAATTTCCACAAACCAAAATAGGGACTCTACGCAGAGGGAACCATTCGTATGCCGAGGCATATCCTTCTATTTAATTTTTAGGCACCACGGGGAATATTAATAAAGAAGTTACAAATCAAAAACAAAGCCTTTGTGAGCAGGTTACCAAATTGTCAACTCACCATGTTCTCAGGGTAACCTATCACAAAGTCGATTTTTTTTGTCGGAAATAACGTTTGCTCGAATTTTCATTACACTGAAAACCGAATTATAACGAAACCATTGTTCTTTCAGGATATGTTGAATGTTTATCGCAAAGACACGATTAGATTCGGTTGGGTTAGATAAGTTAGATTTAAAAGAAAAAACATTTTCATCTCAAAATTACTTTAAAGGTTATGAAATTTTGACCAAACGTTATTTCTGGAAAATGTCATTTCGGACCACTGATAGGTAACCTATACTCAGCTCACCATATACTTCTTACCTTTCCACGTTCGCAGCTCGACACACCGTCATTTCACCATGTCTTCAGCTTACCATAATATATTCACATGTCACCATGTTCTGAACTAACCATATCCTTATTTCAACATTTTCTTTGCTCACCATATTGTAAATGTAGTCACCATGATAAGCGACTTTTAAATTAAACGACGAACGTTGTACATTCTTACGAACTTAAGTTCGGCAGCTTTAAAGGGCCTGCATGTACTTTGGCACCCATCTCAATTTTATCAGTGGTAATTTGGTCTCTTTTTCATTTTTGTTTTTTGTGGGAGTTTTATGGAAACTTGTACTTATCAAAGGTTGTTCAGTAACTATAATGGCGAATAATATTGTGTTCTATGCTTGGTTTTTTCTTTCGTTTCTGAACTTTGCTTGACACACGACCTTGTCACATATAATGATGACGTCGATAAGCAATAAAACTGTTTACATGCTTACCATACATACACATCTTCACACAGTTCCGTTATCGCTCAATATTGTGTGGAGATGTTTATGCTTACTATATGTAGAACGTTAGGTCCAGGACATGGTGAGATGTGAATGTGATGAGTTGAGGACGTGGTAAAATGAAGGGGTGGTGACCTGAGAATATTGTAGGCGAGAACTTGACAACCTGCTCACAAAGGGTGGTGACTTGAGAACATGGTAAGACGAGAATGTGATGAGCTGAGAATACGGTGAGTTGATCACTTGGTAACCTGCTCACAAAGGAAACAAAGACTAAACAAGTACATAGAATATTTCGTAAGGTGCGCTGGTTCGTTCCGTGGATTAGTTGGCATAGCGCTAGCACGGTTTGCTGGAAGACGCTGGTTCGATTCCAGCCGGATGGTAGGATTTTTTTGGTATTCGATCTTTGTAATAATAATTATAACAAACCTCCTCTTTAAATAGACATTTATTATACAAGGATATGTTGAGTTCGACTTATATCTACGCTTCATGGTTTCGTTCTACACCATCATCGCTCTATTTTCATTTTTTTGATGATATATAAATTCTATTTTTCTAGATATTTCTTGGGTAACTTGGCGTCGGGTGGTGCGGCGGGGGCAACGTCGTTGTGTTTTGTGTATCCATTGGATTACGCGCGAACCAGGTACGTAGATGCATACTATCCATTAACCATGTTCTATCCAATACCAATTTAAGTTAATCTAAGTTCCGATATTTCCCAAATGTCTTATTATTCCACCTGGGAATAATAAGACAACTTTGAATAAGAAGACTTTGAGAGTATATACAGGTATATATATAGGGTGCACTATAAGTTTCTGGAAGTGGCCCCTTACATGAACAATATTCAAAAAGTAATTACAACATTTGAAAATGGAAGTCTTTGGCTGTAGAATACAGTTTGTTTCATCTGAGTGTCACTTGTTTTTACAATTTGGCGTTATTTTAGAAATTGATTGTCTACATCACCATGGATTTAACTCGTGAAAATTTTCGTAGTAGGATTTTCTAAGACTTTAAGTGTAATTTAACAGCTCAGCGGAGTTTTGCTCGGCTTCAAACTGCTTTTGGCTATGAAACACCATGCAGGACGACTATTTATAGCTGGTCGTGTGAATCTCAGTGACGAATTTCGTGATGGTCGCCCGTCCACTGCCGTGAACAACAAAAACATCGATGCTGCGCGCCATATGGTCAAAGCAGACAGGCATGTGACATACTTTGAGATTCGGGCATCTTTAGGCAATAGGCATGAGTCAAATACAATCAATACTACACAAGTATTTGGGTATGAAAAAGCTGTGCTCTCGGTGGATCCTACACAATTTGACTGAGGCTCAAAAAACGGATCGCGTCACTTGGTGCAATGCCATGCTTACCATATTCAACGAAAGGGCGTAAAATTTGGTGTGAGACATAGTAACAGGTGACGAAACATGGATTTATAGTTGCGATCCCAAAACAAAGCAGCAATCGAGTGTATGGGTCTTTCGAGATGAGCCGAAACCAACCAAAGTGGCGCGCGTGCTAAGTGCCTCTAAGCGGATGGTTGCTTCTTTTTTAATAAAACTGGCTACTGTTGCTCTAGAGAATCGTTGTACCGTGAAAAGTGAATGGTATACGACGATTTGTTAGCCGGAAGTTATTGCCGAACTCCGTAAAAATAACCATAAACGCCGTAATCATCTTGTACCACGATAATGCCAGTTCTCACACGGCCAGACAGACAATTTTTGAAGGTGAACAACGTTGACCTTATGAGCCGTCACGCCTACAGTCCCGACCTGGTACCATGTGACTTTTTATATAATTCCAAAAATTAAGAACTAGTTACGCGATCAACGATTTTCGTCACCTAAAGGGGCTGTCGAAGAGTATGAAAAATATGTTTCAGATATTGTCACGGAGGAGTGGCATAAATGTTTTCAAAATTGGTTCATTGGTATTAAAAAGTGCATTAACGCTAACGGAGAATATTTTGAGAAACAAATTCATTTCTGACCATTTAGAGATTTTTTTCTTCAGATTCATTCCGGAAACTTAGTGCGCCACACGTACTCTCAGAATCTAGTACATTCTGTTTAAAAGTTTATCCTACAAACGTAACTGTTTATATCCTACAAATAATTTTGAAGAAAGCACTGAATTTCTCAATTTCATTCCGTACCTTTACGTACCTATACCTTTTCGTCTCGTACACAAATCCGCACAACACACTCGCATGGATTCCTCTGCTCCCTTGACACGTTAAATGAAATTCTACATTGCGTTATTTCGCCATGAATATGATAGAATGTAAAATCCTATCTTAAGAATTAGGCTTTACAGTGATAGAGAAGGCTTGCTAGGAGGTATATCATAATTATATTTATATAACCATTAATTTATATTACTTAACTACTAATTGTTACTAGTAATTATATTTATTTAATTTAATTGCATCTGTGGTCGAACGGTTGCCATGCTGAACTTTCACGCAGAGGTCCCAGGTTGGATTCCAGGACCGGGAGAAATATTTGTATGGCCTACATTTGTTTCTCTCGTGAGTTTGGGTGTAATTTGTGGTTGGCTATGTGTGTCTCCATGGTACCCGCGATACAGGGTTTCCCTTGCGGGGCTATGAGTGTGTGCGTTATTATTGTTAAATAAATGTAGAAAATCTGTTTTTAAGCTGTACATAAAGAAAAAAAATCACAAAGAAGATGTCTAAAACACAGGTACTCATTTACTTAATTTAGGCGTCGCAACTACACTATTAGGTTCTAAGATTTAAATGTGTAGCTTAACCACGAAGATTGTACAATTAAGATTTCTTTTTTTATTGTTAATGAGAGCTTCATTTACGTTTGTTTTACGTGTATTGCATTAGATTAAGTTATAATTAAATCAATTTATCTTATTATCTTACTCGTAGGCTTGCTGCCGACGTGGGCAAAGACAAACAGAGAGAATACAATGGTTTAGTGGATTGCTTAATGAAAACATTGAAATCTGATGGACCTATTGGACTATACAGAGGGTTCGTTGTGTCCGTGCAGGGCATAATAATCTACCGCGCGACTTACTTCGGCTTGTTCGACACGGCGCGCGGCATGCTGCCCGACCCGGCCAATACGCCATTAGTTGTCATGTGGCTCATTGCACAGGTTGAACACTCATCCCATTTCCGTATATTATTTTTAGTGCATTTTAACTAATTCGGAGATTATGTGTAATAATGTAATAACTGCCTATACACGTAATGACACGTGTGGGGAGATGTTTCTTGACTCGTCCTCTATTAAGCCGGGGCTCCATTTGCGCAGTCTCGAGATGAACTGCCTCCTTCTGAACGCTGCGGCAAATTCATGCATCTCCATTAGTGCAAGTTGCGCTATAAACGAGACAGGCTGTTTAAAGGCGTATTGACTGAATTTTTGAGCACGGACACTAAATGGCTTGCCACGAGGCTGCCCCATTTGTCTTTGTCACGCCTCGGGTCTAAACTGCCGCTCGACTCAAGGCTGCCTCTAATGGAGTCGCGGCTTAAGAGACAGTACTAGAAACTTATTGGTAAGGAACTAACCAAAAAATAATTTTGCAGACAGTAACGACCGTGGCAGGTATCACGTCCTATCCGTTGGATACGGTGCGACGTCGTATGATGATGCAGTCTGGTAAGCCCGCCAACGAGCGCCTCTATAAGAACACGGCCCATTGCTGGGCAACGATACTGAAGCAGGAAGGCGCCGGCGCCTTCTTCAAGGGTGCCTTCTCCAACATATTAAGAGGCACAGGTGCTGCATTCGTGCTCGTGCTGTACGACGAAATCAAAAGACTATTATAACCTCTCGGGTGAAGTGCGAGGTGCGACGCGCCTATCGAAAATGTCTTCCTAGATCTCTCGAATCCCAAAACATTGCCTCGTAAAACACCCGTTTCTTGGATGGCACATCCATCATACATCCATTTCCTGAAACATCCATATCCCAAAACATCCGCTTCCTAAAACAGTTTTCGGGAAAACATGATTGGCTAAATTGTTTTAATCACACGTTGCAGCATATTGTAACGTTTTTAGAATAAGAATTTTCATTTCCGATTTAATCATAAACCCTTTGGTTTGGATGTTTTGGGAACCGTTTCTAAATGTTTGGGAATTGGTTCCACTATGATTCGGATATTTTGGGACTCGTAGTATTCTATTGGGCCGAAAGGTAACTGCCGATTACATTATAGCCTCTAATAACAGTGACAGTATCGTTACCATAATGAAATCATAGACTGAGTGATAGATAAATTTTTGCTAATTAGCGTTTTTAAATATGGCCACGATTTTGGTGATTACATTTGACTTATGTACTTTATTTATATTTTTTTATTTGTTTTTTTTTGTGATAATTACCCTCTAGATTTTACTAGGTTTAGTGTATGAGGTGTTGGCAATAAAGAATCTGTAAAAGGTTACGTTTGCTACAATTTCCTATTTTATTTTTCATTTTTATTACGACACTTAAGGTGGTTTCCCACCGGCGATGCGAGATGAGACGAGACGAGGATTGAAATTTGCATGGCAATAGGGCAAATTTGTATAAATATGGTGGAAATGGTCTGGATTGACGAGGATGGGCGAGGCGAGAATTGAAATATTTGTTGATGTAATATTGAACTGTATTGCTGCCTACGGAGTACTTATACTCTGCAACGCAAACACGATTGCGTGATTACATTATGTAACTAATGTATCCAAAAATTTCGCGCGGACTCGAGCGTGAGGTCGCGATGGCTTGCACGAGATTTTTGGTGGAAATAGGCCGGCGAGATTTCTATTCTCGTTTCGCCTCGTCTTGTCAGGCCCCGCCCGCGCCCGCTTAAAACTACTATTAAAGTCGGCACAAAATAAGAGACACCTTTTGACGCTTGTCATCGCAACGTAAATAGGGATAATATGATGTAAGCTACACACCTGTCCATAACAGTTACAGTGCCACTCAGAGCTTTTAATCGCAAAGATCTGAGAGACACTGCCAACGCCCTCGTCACCCTGAAACATAAGTTGACAAGTCCCAAGTGTCTGTAGTTTGACCAGCACGCTTAACCTTCAAAACCGGAACGTGCCTGTCAAGATGGCTGGTCGCCTGTGGCACCGAGTGTATATTCAAGAATTGCTACCTAATTATTACCTTTGATATATTCTGAGACATAAAAAAAAAATAATTGACTGGATCAAGAAAAAAGATGATTCCACATTGTATTATATGTGCTAAAAATATACAATTTTTATAATAGCGGCTTCTTGCAATTGGTTTATAGTTTTATTTTCATTACATTTCATTTTATTTTCATATGAAGATCTGGTATTTTCTGCTTAACGTCATTGATCAGGCAATCTGGTTCTGTGCAGTGTTCTCTCTCATCTGCACTATCTATATAGGTACGCAATCAATTAATATGCGTTCAAACGCATTGACATCGCACTCGCAATCGAACGCCTGACCTTTATATTGTGGCAATAAAGCACTAAAAACTTTTGCTTTTTTAATTTAATCAGGCACTTTTTCGAGCAATTTCCAATCGGTTATGTTTTTTTAACTAATATAGATAAAAGCGCATACTTTTAATTCGTGGAAGTAGCAAATAGGTAGCAATTATTGGTAATAGATACTTCTGGAAAATCTAATAACTTCATACTGAAGTGAAAGTGGCGAGCATGCAGCCATTCTGATATCAGAATGGCTGGTCAAATATTTTTTCCAATTTCTTAGAATATTTCAAATGTAGCAATTATTTAGAAAATGTAGCAATTCTTGAATATACACTCAAAGCCAGACGCCACAGACGACCAGCCATCCTGACGGTCACAACCGGAACACAGTAATGCTGACATTACTGCTTGGCGGCAGAAAGGCAGAAATAGGTAAGGTGGCAGTACTACCCTGGACGAAGTAAAGACTTAAAGCTTCTTGTGAAAGCACAAGAAGCTCTACTGCTACTAAAGTAAAAAAATCACTATTTTGTACAGATTTTTTCCATTTCTACTATCGGATTCATCGCGTCAAGTGTTCCACGAAACTGGGAACGAATCATTTTTGGCTAGACTGGCTGTAGCAGTTTTTTTACAATTTTGTACGGCGCAAGATGTCTTATGTCCCTTCGTTCTCACTAGTTCTGTTGAGTAGTCCTATTATAGAACTAAATCCCAATCAATATAGCGGTTTCTATTATATTCATGCGAAAGGTTTTGTATTTTTTATTGCATACACTGCAGAGCTGACGCAAGGTAAAAATATGTGTAAGGTACAGTCAAGAGCACGTCAAGCTGGACACTGAAACGTTGTTATCGTAAGTAACATAGATCCGAGTCTGTACAAACTCAAATGGCTTTGGTTGATTCCGCTCATTAAATATATACTCGATTGATTCCGCATAACAGTGAAAGTGTTGAAATCACTTTGGAAAAAATATATAGTAAAATTGAGGATACACACTGGTCTATACGGTGTGAAACCAAGATTGCTAAAAATGGTCACGATAAAAAAAAACAAACTTACCTCGCATGTACTTTACATATGCTAATGATCTTTTTTATATCCACTAAATAGAACTATCATTCGCCTTAGGACAGATTCGCATGATATACATTTTTCATATAAATCTTGAAATAAAGCCAGTGTTCAAGCAAGAGGATAAATTTTTGTACACCTATAGACTCTTTTTGAAAGAAATATATATTTCAATTTTTATCTTATTTAAATGGCAATGCGACACGCTCATGCTCATTAAAAAAATCTGCACACAAAACTTATTCTTCTAAGATATATTTATAAAAACAAAAGTTAATATAAGGGCACATTTAATTAAGGTTAAAGAATCACTAAGAATCACTAAGTTCTATAGACTCTCTAAAAGTCATTTTGTATATGTGTCTTTGTTACACAAAGGGTGAAAAATGGAAAACATTGAACATGTAATACTATGAGGTTTCTTCTCCTAACCGTAACCATGAAAGATCTAATAGTTCAAAGCTATGAATTTTCACAAGGCACAGATCAAGCTTGTCGAATCACTTATAATTAGTATGACCGCTCAGTTTCAAATGGTAATCTTTTCGATAATAGAATTGTTAGTGAATTTGAAATGTTTATATAATTTGTTAATTAACACCTAGCTATATAGTCTAGATGAAGCATTGAAGTTACGAAATAATACTAATACTATACGTAAATTACTTGTTTATTTTATTTATATATACCATTTTGTATTCGATTTTTTTGTAGGCGTATTCTGTGTACAGACGTATGAAAGTTTTTATCTGCGTATTTATCGAATTTTGTTTGTGTGAAACCATTGTGAAATAATTTGATGTAACCTACTTACCCTCCCGCTCATCAACGAACGACAAAAAGTTTTGTTTGAGAAATAGTGCTTAAACGTCTCCCGCGTATAGGAGTCTTTATGAGAAATTAAAAACGCTGTTTCAATATCGCAACATCCTTTATTTAAATGGAAATGAAGCTATATTTTAGGATGTAAATCGCTTATAGATAACGTTTCTTCAAACAAAACGCCAAGGGCTCTACAGGTCTTTTCGTCACGTGATGGAGGATTTGTGAAAAGCGGTTTCATTTCCAATGTTTGACGGCCTCTGTGGTCGAGTGGCTTGCACACCGGATTTCATGGTGTCGCCATCTCTGAGGTCCCGAGTTCGATTCCTGGCCGGGTCAGTGTAGACACTAACTTTTGTATATATTGTCTCTGATCTGGGTGTTGGTGGTACCGTCGTTGTTCCCGATTTCCGTAACACAAAGTGCTTTCTTTAGCTACTTAGTTTGGGACCAGAGCAACTTATGTGATGTTGTTTGATATTTATTTATTTTATTATTTATGTGTAGCAATTGCGAAAACCTAAGTAATATCCTTTAATAAGCAAACATTTTGCGATTATGGCAGAGACAAGCCATCAATAAGCAAAAATTCTGTGATTGCGGCTAGAGACGAGCCAAAAAAGGAAACATTCTGTTATTGCAACTTAGAGATAAGCCATCTATATAAGCAAAAGTTTTGTGATTGCGGCTTAGAAACAAGCCATCTCTATTTGATGTCACAGAGTAGGGCTACACCACGTAGGGTCCAATGCCTGGGATTCGAGTCTGTTTCAAAATCGATGGACCCCACGTATTTGGCATCGGTGCGTTGAGGTTTGCGGTATATAGGGCATTCGTAGAGCCTCGGGTCCTTGCCGGCAGTAGTGTTGATCGCGTAGATGTAGATAACCGGCATTTGCTCGTACAGCACTTTAGGCTTGGACTCTATCAACTTGCCTAATTTTCTGTCTAACGATGCACCTGGATAAAAAAGTAAAAATTTTGTAAAGGCAAAACTGAAAAACTATGTAGGTGGGTAGAATGTGTCTACTAGAGCTTGCAGAACCGGCCCAGTTCCTGAAATTTTGTTTCCCAACCGGTACCGAGCAGAACTCGGTACCTGGACGACGTGCTTGACATTAGGTAGGTTCCTTTCCATAATCGGTCGTACCAGGTCAATGCCGAGTATTTATAATCGCGGTATCGGGACTGACTGTACCTCAACAGTACCGGAATTTACCGGTATTTCGGGAACCGCAGATTCGTGGGAGTAAGCGTTAATTTACCTTCTAGAAAGAGTCCGTAGACGTAGACCCCCTCAGCAGGCCCTTCGTGCACGTCTTCACGGTTCAACTTAGTGATGTGGTTTTGCAGTACCACGGAATCTAACGCCCAACCTTTGTGACTTCGTGTCACTTCCTGTTAATTTAAATACCGTACATGTAATGGGAACACATTATTTCTGATGTTTTATTTGGTACAATGACATCAGTGACGATTAGTGTGGTGTGAATTAACCAGGGTTACTGCTGTTGAATACAAACTTCAAAATACCTGTCTCATAGCAGTGAGAAAACCCTGGGGATTGAAGAAGCCAGTCATCCAGAAGGTGGTGGGGCGACCGTTGCGCAGCCATATTCGGTACTGTTGTTCGCGTTCTAGCAGCTCCGTGTACCAAAAGCCCAGTGTAGCCGACTCCCAGGATACCTGCAAACCCAATTCAAAAAGTACCAATGTAACACGTATAACACGAGTGCTTTTTGGTGGCGAAGTTTTTGGATTAACAGTAACATTACTATCTTACTATTATACGATAGGACTATAATAGTGCAATCGTTTACATTCTGTGTTATCTAATTGTCAGGTATGACTTTTTTTAAACCATGAATTGGTCAACATGTCAACATCGAATTATCGGAGGTGGACTATCATAGATTGGTCGCAAGCGTAAATATTTTCTCGGTGAGATATATATAGGTACAGCGCTCCAAGCGGTCTTAATAAATGTTAAATTTCGCTATATGATACATAGTCGCTATATGATACAATACAGTATATTTTGGTTGTTCGCTTCGCCCGCGCGCCCGGGACGCTTATAAAACGTAAAAGCTAAATAATTAGAGCGTATTTTGTCATGACAGACACGCGGGTGCAGAGCGGCAGCCACGCACTCTCCCCGCGGCGTGAGTGCAATGAAATTCTTGTCGAATAAACGCGCCCTTACTGAGTCTACCTTCGCGAAAAAGCTTTTTATTTTCTGTGGTATTGTAATAAAATATTATTTTAATGATTTTGGGACATTCATTAACAAAAAATCAATCCGCATGAAAACAATCAAGCTGCCTAGCGTTATCGATGTGAAATTTTATCATAGTTATTTTTAATCGACTTCAAAAAAGGAGGAGGTTCTCAATTCGACTGTATGTTTTTTTTGTATGTATGTTACGCGATAATTAGTTATATAATATAGCGATAATTACGCGATAGTAGTAGTATTCGTGAACCGATTTTCATGATTTTCTTTTTTTGTTGGAAAAGGGGTACTTCCATAGTTGTCCCATTTCATTTTGAAGAAACCTCTATGGGTGGCTGTTCACGCATGAAGATTCATTTTTATAAATAGCGCCTAAATTTTACTTAAGGAGCAATTATTTTAATGGTTGATTTTGCTAATTCTCCAATTCAAGGCGTTTCTCTCTCAATATACTTTGAGTAGCGAGAACCGATTTTTATTATCTCCAGTGTCAAGTCCTGTATAGTGGCGAACTAGGGGATATTTCAAAAAAACTTAGCAAATAGACGTAATTCCACGTACTTTTGAGCTCGGTTTTTTTAGTACTCTGTACTGAGATTATCCATGTAACTAACCGTCAGGGACACGCAGCTGTAGCAGCTAATGTTAATAGCGACTGCGGATGCGACTGATCGCACACGACTGTACTCTACATACAAACAGTGGAAACAACTCGTTTTCAAAATTGACGTCGAAGAAATAACATACTTGTTATAAAAAAGAAAACGAAAACATGTATTTTGGATATATCCTTTGTTAAGAGATCGAACTACAAAGGGTGCGTTTTATTCATGCTATAATGAGTTACAGGAACATGTCACGAAATTTTTTAATTACACACGAATGTCGGTAAAATTCATACACACAGGGACACATCGATCACGCGCGGCTAGTCGGTCTCTTAGCGGAAAATAGCTTTGTCTCGAACATGTGCATAAATGTAAGTACCTTAAGCCACTGCGATGGTATCCTGGCATCATACATGGCGTCCAGACTGTCACGTAAACCCTGACTCATGACGATGGTCCCGTCAATAGCCAGTTTAAGGTTACATAACGTGGACTGCACTGTTCTGATTACGCGCTGAATGCGATCGATTTCTTGCCTGAAAACCACACAACACCACATATAAATAATTAAATAAATAACGCACACACTCAACATAGCCCCCACTAGGGAAACCCTGTGTCGCGGGAGCCATGGACACACACATAGACAACCACAAATTACACCCAAACTGACGAGAGAAATAATTGTAGGCCATACAAATACATATCCCGGCCCGGGAATCGAACCTGGGACCTATGCGTGGCAGTCCGGCATGGTAACCGTTCGGCCACGGAGGCAGTTAATCTAATATGGTTGTTAGTCTAAAATGGTATTTTTATTATTTTATTTATTATGAGCACTAATTACGTGTTTGCACTTCGCACAATTAACAATTTTTGTTATTTTTTTTTCAAAAAAATTTGGCATAAAACAATACATACCTCAAGAAAATATTCATAGGTAGAAAAGCACCCATCTTTTGAAGTGCTTCTTTCACTTCAAAACTAACGTACTGTTTAGGTAATTTCTCTAACATGTCTTCCGCTAATCTGTACACAATACTTTCTCTGGTCTCGCCCCCCTGAGAACCACCTTCCTTCGGTTGCACACTCAGGATTGTATCCAATATATCCTTCGCACTGTTGATTTGGTACGTAATATCAGCGTTACTGTGTAAACCAAATACTTCAGGAGTGTCCGTAAGGGGCAATTGATTAATATAGTCGATGTACCCTTGTAGATTTCTGGTTTGAGGCACTTTGTAGCCTTTGTAAAACTCGAAACCAGGTCTTAGTAACACGTCGCAAAACCAAACGTTTGTGAAAGTGGTCAGGAGCCGTTTGTCAAAATCATCCGTAACTCGACCGCCGTATTGTACCTCTCCAAGCATGTAGCAAATGGTTGGCCATGAAATGCCCTTCTTTGGATCGATTTCGTCGAGATGATTTTGTATAAACTGTACACAGGCTGCATAGTCTGCCTGATTGAACTCGTAAGGTATATTCCAGCCCAAGGGACCGAATTTACGTCTTTCCTGTACGATTGTATGCAAAAACGCCACAGCGTATAGAAGTGGCGGCCATTGAGGCAATGAAGAGTAATCTAAAGTATCCTGTGTGATATTCTGGTAGGTTCTCTTCATACTGGCTCGGATACCCTGAGGTGGTTCGTTAGTGAACTTTATAGCCATCTGCAATAACCCTATAGGAAAATCTGTATGCACTTCAGTGGTCAGCCACAGTCGAAAGGAGTCTTGAATGTGTTCAGTTTCTATGAGAGCGTCCATAGCTTCAACGCAGAAGGGTAGTGAAAGATGGATGTTTTGGAGTAGTACCCACCCGCCTTCACTCATTGAGTCTGAGATCATCTTTCTGGCTACTATTTCTTGTCCTTGTCCCATTGACACTGCTTTCAAAGCTGTTAATAATAATATTAATTTCTTACATGTAACGTTACGACAAAATTGAATGCTATCGTAAGTAGGGGTATCCATAAAGATTTCCCCCCGTCAAAAAAAAAAAAAAAAAGGTGTAAAACCAAAGTATACAATACACGGATGACAGTACATCAATGTAACCAATCATAACCATTTACGAAACTCAAGGTTTTAGATACTTACGAATTTCTTTGGCTTTCGCAAGAGCTCCGATCTGTGTGGAAGGATCAGAGCCAATTGACAATATACAAATGAGTGGAGTGCGTGGTTCTGATTCTTCCCAAGTCGCTTCTAAGTTTAATATCCGTCCTTCGCCATATTCTGGTCCAAGCGAATCTAGAATGCCAAATGCGAGGTTAATATAAAATTATCATAACAATACCTCAGGCTAGTATTAATAGCACTTTATAGTATCAATAATACAAATCGATTTAGGAGGTTTTATCATTTTATATGTCCTAAAGTTAGTTTACAGAAAACTGTATCTATTGCTAGGCATTTCAACGCCTTTAAAGCTAATTAGTGTCACATATAGCAAATTCCATCGGTAAATCTCAAAGGGAAATGATAACATCAATCTTACCAACGATGTATTTTCTGGCCTGTGACAATGTCCGATCTGGACTCCAAGATCTGATGAGAAGTAGTTTTCGAAATACGTCAAGACTTTCCTGATATCCACTGGGCAAAACTTCTTCTTCCGGCTTTGCTTTCTCGTACCAAATTCGCCATTCCTTCTCGTTTGATGATATCTAAATTTAGACAAACATATAAAGTAATAATTAAGATAAATAAATTGTAAATGATGAATTAAATACGTAGGTGTTACAGCTTCTATCTTACCCTACTAAGTACATCCGAGAAGGTGTTTAATTTACTGATCTCAACTAAGTTTAGCCATGTTATGTCTAATATCCATCTGAAAGGTTTCGGTGTCACAGCATTTAGATCCAATGACGCACCTCCCTTCACAAACGCCATGAACTCATCATGAGAAATAAGACCACGTTGACAATCGATCTTCATTGCCAGCATTAAAGTGAACAAAGCTTTATGTCTTTCGTACAAACTGCGTAATGTAAAAGCCCAAACTTCGTGAGTTAAATACTTCAATATAATATTGATCCTTTCTTCCGTAATATTAGTTTTAGTAGATTTTGTGATTGAGTTGTCGAAAATAGTTAAAAATTGTTTCAAAGAATTTTGATACATTAGGTTGACGTTACTCATTTCGACGATTAAGAAATATAAAATCGACCCTCTAGCTGCAACTGCCCGAAATTCTTCTCTCGCTTTTACAATTTTTTTTTCAGTGACCTCTGCTACTTTCAGTTTTTCATTCACTTCCTCAGCTGTTGTCTTAGTAATTTGCAATACTTGAATAAGTGCTTCGTCATCCACTAAAGACCCTTCCGAAGATGTTAAGCGACACAGTAAGTTACTTTCTAATTCTTTCATACTTCTTTGGTTTCTCATAACGGATTCAAAGAGTGCCACTCTTTCTTCTTCCAAGTCCGATTTCTCCATCAATATTACTCTACCTAACAACTGGTCTTCTAAACCTTGCATTGTGACGGTAAAGTCTATGATGGAAGTTTTTGCACTTATCTCAGGTGAATATGCGGGGTTTGGTAGCTTTGTAGTAATATACAACATGAATCCGGGCATCACGTCACATTCCTTGTCACCTACGATTACTTTCTCTATTGAACCTGATTTTATAAAGTTCTTTTCTAAAACGTTATCAATGACCGGGTCTAGTTCAACACCTACATCTTCAATTAAAAGGGGTCTTCCTAAAGAAAGGCTGTCTTCTAAATGTGTTCTAAAATATTTATGATTTAGTGACGTGATCTGGAGTTCGTTTGTGCTCTCTTTGTTTTTGATCCAATTTTTCCCTTGACTTTGTGGATCTACTAACAATGGATATGAACTAGCTTTGGTCACAATCAAAGCATTTTGCACCGACAAATCGTCGTTTGGAAGTCCTTGCAACGTCCATTCTGATATTGTTGCATTTTCTACTAACATGTTAGTAATATTCAAATTATCGGTAACAGGTATTTGCTTAGTTTTTAAGATTTCCATCCAGGTGTCGAGGAGACTGTTCCGGAATTCTTGATTATAGGGTCCACAGTAGGATAAGAAACCAGTTGCTAAAACCACGTCACCAACAAGTCTCCCTAATTGTTCCTTAAAATCCTTGCTCTGTTGTGTCCACCGGATTTTCTCGCCACCCAATCCATTGATGAGTGCGGTAGCGGCTGTCATCTTTCTAAGACATACGTTTGCAGCATCGGTAAGTTGTTGTTTTTCGGACACAGCAGATTCGTACTGTTCTTTTACTTTTCGAAGTGACATCTCACGTTCCTCCAGTTGCCTTTCTGCATTCGCTAAATCTTCCATGGCTAGCTGTGAATTTAATTATATGATTAGGAATATATTTTGCCTTCATAAATAAAATTATGCTAATTGTATATTTTAATATAGTTGCCTACTTTCAATCTGGCTTCTTGCAACATCAAATTGGCTTTAAGCGGTAACACTTCTTTGTTGACACTATGGAAAAAGGCCATAGCTTTAGTCCAAGATAGCAAACCAGCGACATCACCGCAAACTCTCTTCGCTGTATCCATATTGTAGTCCTCCATCTCGAAGTATGGAACCAAATGTTCCACCATTTCATTGTTGATTATGTCTTTTGGATAGTTTTGTAGTTGCAGCAAGAAGGTTGTACTAGCCATCATCTGAAAGGTAAATCATGGGTTAATCTTATGTAAATCTACCTGCTGTTGCAGTTATACGTTCCAACAGAGTATTATTTACCTTCAATGATTCCGCCCATGATGGCTTTGGACAAGGTGCCGCAGTATCAGGAATGAGAGGGTGGAGTCTTCTTTGGAACAATATTAATACGCAATCCATAATTCTCATAATGAGATGTGGTGGTCGACCCAGCTTTCGAACAGTAGCAATGTGTGCTGGTTTGATGGTATTTAAAGCTGCTTCGGCTTCTTCAAGAGCTGGTTTTGCGGCTTCTAATTTTCTCTCGGCTTTTTCCTTCTCTTCTGCTATATATGCTACCAGGGCCTCTGCTTTTTCTTTCACAATTTGCACTTGGTTCTTTACTATTTCCGCTTGCATTGCTCTTTCGGTAACTTCTGTTAATACTCGACCAGCTTTTTCAGATGCCAACGCTAGATCCTGTTCCATTACAGCTAAATCTTTTTTCAGAAATTCTACAGAAATTGACGCTTCTCGCAATTTTTCTAAACCGGTGTCCATTCGTAGTGCTCCGTCCCCAAGTTCTTTCTGTTTCATTTGATATATTGTCTTGTATCCTCCGATGAAGCTAAGATATGATTTCGGAGTAACATGAGACGACCGACGGAATCTTTGGAAGTATTCTGCAGACACTGTAGATACTACATCTTGTATCGTTCCGAGTACTGTTACGAGTTCTTTTTTCACTTCTTTAGTGCACTCTATTTCGAATTCTGCGAGGAAATGGTCGGCTACTGACACAAGGGCATCTTTAGGCCAAGGTTGAAACCAGTCAATGGTGCAACCAGAAATTAGAGCCGGGAAACGTTGTGCTCGAGATCTAAATGCTTCACTTACCTGGAAAAAAGATACTTTAGTTACTCATTTCACATTTAAACTAGTGTATTTAAAGTGTATTTATCGAATTATAACTTACAGGGGAAAAACAAAGTACAACATGTAAATTTTGACAGGTTCTGTTCAGGAAATATTCCATCACAAGCTCATTAGTCAATGTTCGTTTCTGGTTTTCACGTTTCATAATAGGGGTTAACTCCGAAATGATTTCCTGTTGCTCGTCCTTAGTAAATAAGTTGGAAATTACACCAGATGATAATATATTATTTAAGTATTCTAAGAATCCTTCTTCTTTGATGTCTAAATCGGTAAAGATAAACGTAGTTCCTTTTCCTTGCACTCCGCACGATCTATATAGTAACTTGAGATCTTCAAGAAAGTTACCTACGTTGTAAGATCTGGTTAAAGCAATTTGGAAAGAGCGATACCCAGCGATGAATGTTGATAATTTTGTTAGAGATTGTTTTCCTGAACCACCGACACCTACAAGCATAACGTTTCCTCGTGGATGCCTTATAACTCTTGAGATCTTTACTAGATGTAACATAGCATCAGGGAAGAAAACCAAATCCATGCCGGATCCTCGAACCATCTCGTTAAATTGTGATAGAAACATTTCCAAACGATCCCGTAATTCGCTATAGTCAAAAACAGGCTCATATACTTTGGGTAATTCCATGTCCGCGTCTTCACCTTCTTCCCCAGTCGGCTCGGGTGCATCTCTGTAAAATTAATCGAATTAGTAAATGCGCAAAAAATGCATGGTTACTTAATCACACGAAACATTACCTCATGAAATCAACAAAAACTGGTTCCTTTTCCATCATTTTTTTGTATTCAACTCCTAAAATTCCTTCTACAATGTCATACAAAGATTTATTAAACCAGTCTTTATCCGTTTGATGCGTGAATCTGTCGGAAAACACCCTTGAACATTCGTGCTTCCATAGCAGCATGAGACATTTTTCTGATTCAATCACAGTCGGCAGGGTTCCGACCATTCCTTGCCAGACTCTTGAAAGATCTCTCAAGGAAAACACGTAATGGAATTTCGCTGGAGTAGGTAATAGATTTAGCCTGGTTCGCATCCACAATTCCCTAGTCAATGGTATTACTTTTTTTATAAGATTCCTAACGTCCACAGTGAAACCACGCTTAGCATTGTAATGACCTTCGCCGATTACTTTGAATATTTTGTCAATAGCATCATTGTTGGGAAGTGGACAGTTAAAGATTGCGAACTGTCGCTTAAGTCGAGCTGGTATATCGTTTCGACCACCACCTAAAATGTTAATTAAAGTTTAGCGCATTTTATTAAAAGCTACACTTGTTTTAAAATTCTTGTGTTACCTATAATATTTTACATTATGTTACTTGTATATATAATTATCCTTCACAGTATTCAATTTATTCACCATTATTCGATGTACGGTCTAGACATTTCACTAAGTGGCACAATTTTATATATCTATAACATTATACAGTACCTAACCTATCACCTTACCTGGTTGTCCCATAGCGGCTAAAAATTGTATGTCTATAATAGTTGTAAAATCTCCGGGTTTCTCTAAACTGTAGAATCCTCCCATACACATGGTTTGTCTCACAATTTCATTTGTGATTTGATCACCCCACTCATTGATCTGGGGTAGGTTGATATCATCAATGAACACCAGCATCTTTTTTCCGCCAGGAGGGCCAAATGTCATGCCACTACGTTTCTCCACATAACTTTCTATAGTTTTTTGAAATTGGTAAGGGCTGGTTGCCGACGAAAAGTTAAATGACCTGCCCATAAATTGTTCGGGGTTTGCATTTTTCATGTACGCCTTCATCATAACTGTCTTGGCTGAACCTTGCTCTCCCAAAAGCAGCACTGCTTTCCCTTGTTTCGCGATGCAATGTATTAGGTAGTTTATTCTAACGTTATCCACGATTGGGACCAAAATGCTGGAATAATCTGGAGTTGCTGTATCAGGGTAAACATAATTCGTCACTAAATCATCCCATAACTCCCATTTGCCTGGGTGCTTAACGTAAAAATCGAAAACAATACTGGGTTTATTGTTGGGATGTTGTGGCATATCTAGTACTTCAGAGAAATTGGCTTTCAAGTATGTGTCAAAACGGATTCTATCTTTCGTTTCTAAGAGAGAGCCGAAACCCCATATAAGAGTGAAAACGTAGATTTTGTGTAAATGTTCTGGAGTAAATAGAACTATTTCTTCGACTTTTTCTTTTTCTTCATCTTCGTCAATGTCGCCATTGATTGACTTGCCGGCAGATGGTTCTTCGGGTATTTCGATCTGCGGCGGTACTAATCCTTCGAGGAGTTTTAGCATTTGTAAGATGATGTTGCTTTGGAGCACGCGCATGCTGAAAACTAAGTTCTGTGTGCACCACGTGTAAACAATGGGAAATGTTTGTTCAAATAGATCTTCGAAAATTTCGTTTTCTCGTGACGAGCGAGTCTTAAGCCATGCGCGGAGTACTGAAAGATACAGTAACGTTACATACCAGCATAATAACCTACCCCAACGTTAAGTGCACTGTTACGCAATAAATACCAACCTGGGCTCCAATCTAAGCCGGAAGAACTCATATATACCATTCCATTACGAGACACCGTAGCCGGAGATGCATTATCAATGTTTTCTGGTTCGAAAATAATCTTTGACGTTGGAGACATAGTCAGTCTATCACCATTGGCCAATGTCAGTGTTTTATTATCATCTAGGACAGAATTCAAGTTTTCGATCCATATGCTGTCAACTGGCCCATCGAGCACCAACCAAATGTGCTCTCCGGTTTTGATCTTGAGAGTTTTGCGCCAGAGAGCTGAGAAAATTCCGTCAGTCCAATCGTTCGTCGCAACGTCGAGGCGTCCAAACATTTGTGCTGCTGTTATAGCTTTAGGGTTCATACGCATCTCTCTGTAAAGTTTAAAAAATATGTAATTAACATTTAATATGGGTGTACTACGTGAGTGCGAATGCCGATTGCGCGAATGACGATAGCGCGAAGACGGTTGCGCAAAAGCTTAAATGCGCGATAGTTCATTTGCGCGAAAGTTTGAATGCGCGATAGTTCATTTGCGCAAATGACGATAGCACGAAGACAGATTGACTCCCATGGCTGCTGGTTGTTGCAATTCTTTGCAATGAAAAGCTTTCATAATATACTATACGTTTACTTTTGTAAAAGTTTATTATGGTGTACTTGCAACATTTAACGTGCTTTCCAGCTTTCGCAAACCTGTATTCGTGCTATCGTCATTTGCGCAAATGAACTATCGCGCATTCAAGCTTTCGCGCAAACGTCTTCGTACTATCGTCATTCGCGTAATCGGCATTTTAACTGACGTAGTACACCCAATTATCGGGTATCAGGGGGTCTCCCGTACCCCGTTCGACATCCGTCCGAAACAAACACTGTCAAATAAGTAGTACTCGACCAAATTAAAAGTAGAAGCTTCATTCGAATCATGTGTTTTTAATTTAGTCGCGTATTACTTATTTCATAGTATTTGTTTCGGACGGCGAACTAGACTACAGGGCCAGGAACAAGCCACTACCGCAACATTTTTCAGCTTGTTACCTGTGAGGATCTTCCACTTCTGATAATGCATTCATGAGTGTGTGAATGCAGGTGGTTTTGCCGGCGCCGGGAGGACCGAGAGTCATGATGCCGTGACGCACGCGCTGCGTCTCGTATAGCTATCGGTGAATGTGGATACAAATACAAAACAAAATCATATAATATGAATCATAAACTTACTTAGTACGTACGTATTTCATAAACGTGACTTTGCAACCAACATGCACTTTAACTTATATAACAAACTTCATAAACGACCGGTCACCTGAATAATTTTGAGGATCCATGGTGCATGAGAAATGAGTCCTGTCTGTTCAACTTGTTTCCTTATACCTTCTTCCAGCTCGGGATACGTAGTCTTTTCCAAAGCCTGTTATTCAAAACATTCTTAGATGAATAAGGCAAGAATAATGTGGGTGGCTTTCTGTTAACGATAATCTAACTACTACAATTTACTGCTATAAATTAAGGCTTCCAAAGTACTGAATGTCGTGGATAAAGACGTAAGCACATATAGGAAAGTCTTTAGTAGTTTAGCTCAGGGCTGGGAAATACTAATTGCTTTCTATGGAGTAATTTAACCAACTTGTTGTTAGGTATTCTGCGCTTTCACACAAACCTGATTAGGGAAAAGATCAGCGACTAGTGATATGAAGAGAGGTTCGTCTTCGTCAATTAACTTGGATAAATTCATGTCTCTGAGTACACGCATCACTATGGTGCTCTCGTTGTCTTTGGAGTTGACTCTTTTTACGGCCCCTAGCGTCCGCAACACTGAGAGGATGTTTCGAAGACCAAAATCGTAGTGCACCTGTGTCATAAATAGGTTATGTAAATTCATTCTTACCTCAATGTTTTAATACGCTTCATCATTGTTAATAATTGGACCAGTCTTCCACAATGCAAGTAAGTAACAGTCAGCGTCAGAGAAACCTGACAGGTGTAGAAATCTAATAATTAGGGTCGTAATATAATAATTATAATGAAAATAATTATTTTAATTCCCATAAGTATAATAATTGACCGTCTTTTTGTATTTAGTTTTAAGTTTCTATAAGTCTCGAAAACGAAAGTAATAAATGGTAAATAAATGAAATCCGTGACAGCAATTAAAATGTCAATTAGAATTAAGTAGGTAATATAAGATTCCGCTTTTTAAACCACTGAGTAACTATAAACTCGCGTGAGGTGTTAAGATAAAAAAAACTCGAATAAAGTTTCTAAAGGCCAACCTCGGGTTCAAAGTTATGGGAAGATAGTTACAAATGACGCAGATTTACTTTTAAATTGGGCTTATTTCTAGTAACAAATTGTCTCATGGGAAGACTTCCTTGCCCTATAGGATTCATACTGTTGGGTAATTTTCCGAATAATTTAAAATGGTGAAAATTTTTCCGGAAAAATTCCCGGAAAAAAATTTGAAAAATATAATTTCGAAGGCTCATATTATGTTCTACGCTTATAAACATGTTTTGAAGTTTTATTTAGCGAGTATTATAAAATAAACGTGTTTAGGCGAAAGCCACATAGAAGAAAAATATGATTTTTTCAAAGTGGATATTTTTCCATGACAGAACAATAAGCATTCATTACCTGCTTCGTAAGTTGTTCTTCACAAAGTTTGTACAAAGTGTAGAACTTTCTCGCAAGCGTGATATTTTCGAGGAAACCGCACGAGGCCAATTTCACTCTGATGATGATCTGACGGTCCGGAACCATCATGGCGACAGTCCGGAATTGGATCTTGAGATTTTCGGGAAGTTCTTTACGACCAGCATAGCCTGGATTCTAGGAATAAAAATCACTGTTATATATATATATATATATATATTGCAGTGCGTCTATTAATTATATAATTTGCTAAATCATGAAATTTTTCAGATATGTAACGTAAACGTTTGATGATCTCCGTGGTCCACTCGGCCTACACACCGGTTTTCATGGTGTCGCAATTTCTGAGGTCCCGGGTTCGAACTCCGGTCGGGTCAATGTAGAAAAACTAACTGTGGTTAGGTTGTGGTTTGGTTAGGTGTGCATGCTACATCGTCGACCACATCATCATTTACCATCAGGTGAGATGGAGGTCAAATGCGCACTTATTTTTAATAAAAAAAAACTTTTCTATATTATTTCGGGTGTTTGTGGTACCGTCGTTGTTTCCGATTTCCACAACACGAATGCTTTATGTACTTACTTTGGGATCGAAGCAACGATGTGATGTTGTCTATTATTTACTATTTTATTTATAAGAAAACCCCAAATTTAGTGTAGACCCATCGGTGGAATGAACATTGGTTGGTACCGTACAATTGTCAGCAGTGGATCATAACATCGAAGTTTTCTGTAACTTGAGTCCACCTTCCCCTGATATTAACGCACACACTAATAGCCATAGAGCTCCTTGTTAAAGAGTTCCCCAGGGAAGTACTTTAGTACTGTCAGCTGTAAGGCGGCAGAATAAGGTAGGGTGGCAGTACTTCCCTGCAGGCAGTAATGTGAGCTTTGCTGCGTTCCGGTTTTGAAGGTGCTGGTGAGGGGCTCGTCAACTTACGACACAAGATGACGGGCCCAGCGACAGTGCCCCTCAGATCTTTGTGTTAAAAAAGCTCTGTGTGCCGCTACAACTGTTATGGACAGGGGTGTTACTTTGCACCAGGCGTTTGACTTGTTCGTTCTGTCACTTGATATTATAAATAAAATCCTATATTAGTTCAGGAATCACCACATCGCTCTCTACAAATAAATTTTATATAAATTTCAACAATTATAACAATCTTGGTAGACAACCTGTGCAATAGTACATATAGTACAACAGTACTGTACAATACTCTGTACAATAGTACAGGCTGCCTGAGTACTAAAAGTACACGTCTTTACTTATTGGTTAAGGCTGCATTCAAGTCATTAGATGTCCAACCTCAGCCCGATCGGATAGACTGTGTTTCCAGTTTTAATCCTTCTAACGTTGTGCATGGTAGCACCGTCCATGTTAAGCAAAAAACTTTACACATTTAGGCCGCGCATCTGTGTACGGCAGGTTAAAGGTTGCCTTAATAAAAAGCAGTCCTGTATTACTAAATGTAGTGATTGCTGCTTTTTTTAATATTATCAAGTGATAGGTTGAACAAGTCGTGTGCCTGGTGGTAAGTTACACGCCCGTCCACAACTGTTGCTGTGCCACTCAGAGCTTTAAATCACAAAGATCTGACGAACACTGCCATTGCGCCTGTCACCCTGAGACATAAGTTGACAAGTCCCGTGTGCTTATAACTTCACGAGCACCCTTACCCTTCAGAACAATGCAGTAATGATCACATTACTGCTTGGCGGCAGAAATAGGTAAGGTGGCAGTACTTCCCTGGACGAACTCTTTCACAAGGAGCTCTATTGCTATTGCTAGATTAGGTAATACGCATTTCCATGACATTTTTAATTCCCTGTCTATAATAATTTCATATTTTACTGCTATATGCGGCCGCAGGAATCATATACTAGCACTGTCTCTCCCGCCGCCCCAAACATACTAACGCGTGACTCTATTCACGAAGAACCCATAATAATGTATTAAAATAATTAATAACAAACCATAGTAATAAAGATGCCAAATTCTGGGCACATCTCGGAAGTGTCACCGTCGGTGAAGACGAAGGTCTTTTTCTTCTCTTTCTTGGCAGAGAGAACTACGGCCACCTGCTGTGCGGCCACTGATAAGACTGGGAGCTCGATGCGGTTGAACTCGTCGAAACAGCCCCACGAGCCTGATTGTGCCAGCCCTTTGTAGATACGACCCAGACCCCTGACAAATAATAATATAGGATGAAAGAAAAAGTATTTCCTAATTAGTAATAAATTTGAATAAAACCTGAATTACGGCGAAGAAAATTGTAGTCATGGCGCTTGCACATTCTTGTTGCCGTGTGTGAGAGATTTTTCATTTTTTTTGTTACTAAAAAGTCCGGACTTTCTTGCAAATGTCAAATTTCGGAATGGTAACATTAATTTGACCGCGAATACACATTTCTATGCGCAATGTATGGTTTGTAAGACTGTGGTTAGTGTTGACTATTACGTGGGAGTGTGATAGTATAATTTATTTATTTGATTCGTTAATACCTGTAGTCCATTTGATCTGAGCAGTTGAAGACGACGACATACTTGGCGAGGGTTTTGCCCATGTCCTTGACGGTTTCTGTCTTGCCGGTACCGGCTGGCCCACACGGCGCGCCTCCCATACTCATTGCTAGGGCTTGGGCCAGCGTTATGTAGCATCTGTAATTAGGAACATTAACTGTTCTCAAGCTACCGTAGTTTTACTACAAAAATTACAGTTAATATGCAATCTACGACCTCTATCAGACCTTATGTCTGAAAATGGTTAATTTATGTTAGAATAAAGGCGTTAGCGTTGTAGATCTGTGAAAGGAAGGTTAATAAAGACCGACGCAAATAATAAGAATTTTATTTAAATGGCAAATGTACATCAACATTTTAGTCAATTTAACCCAAACCACAAGTTAATATCTTGAATGAGGATTTCATATCTTCTTAATATGAATATCTGAAAACTATCAATTTTTAATTATATTTACTTAACATATGCGAGACTTCAGATTCAAAACCGAACTTCATGTTAATTTTAGTAACAGTTCAGTTTAGTAACAGAGCTCCTTGTGAAAGGGTTCGTCCAAGGAAGTGCTGCCACCTTACCTATTTCTGCCACCAAGCAATAATGTCAGCATTACTGTGTTCCGGTTTTGAAGAGTCAGGGAGTTGGTGAAACTACAGACACATGGGACTTGGCAATTGTTTGCTTTTAGTTCTCACGTGTTTTTTTATTAAAGATTTTAGCTTTTAGTTGCAGCTGTTGTGGATAGACATGTCGTTTACCATCAGGTGTACGACTAATATTCATCGCGCCGTCACTTGATATCGTAAAAATCATTTAAATAACATCCACATTTAAATACCGGCGCAGTAAATGTATGTAAAAACATGAACTTTCAGTAAATATATCAGAGTAAATCATGAACCAAATTTGGGGTGTATTATATACTAACAAGATCATTTTCACAATAGCTTTGTTTATTTATCACTTCTTTATAAAAAAAATTATGAAAATAATTTTGAGTTGAATTTTGGAATTTTGGTCGATCTCGTCTACGGGTCATCTGTGCTTATTATTTAGTAAAAGAGATCGAATCAGGCGTTGATACCTACAGGATCCCCTAGCCCAATCCCCCAGGGGATCTCTGTGAACTCAGCAGGTCATTAGAATCCCCTAAGTTAAATGTATGTAAAGTTGCAATCACATATTGAAGTTAGGTAACTATATGAAATACTGGCTCATGAACGACGACGCACGTGGTCGGTGTTCAGTGAAAGATATCGTACTAGCAATTCTAGCGAAAGCTGGAACTCAGGTTTAATAATGATTGACCGTAAACGCCCCAACATCATATAATTGTTAAATGCACTGAAAAGAGTTTCTGAACAAAAGCCACGTGTTTACGTGCACGTGACGTAAACAGACAACCTGACCGGACATTTGCTAAGTGATGACAATAGACTACTCAGCAGTGCAATGACCGTTCTGAACTAGGCTGCTGAGTAGAGTAGTTAACTTTATGTATACATTTAAAAATAATATTGTTTATAGTCACACACACTTAAATACCGTTTTGTATAAATAGCTTAAGTTTTGTAAATAAAACTCTCTTTGAATTCAGACATCAACGCTGTCTTATTGACAACGGAGCACTCCTGACTACAGCATCCTCTCACTGCGGCCAAGACACCTTTAGCCGTTAGCTTATCTGATCAGTCTTGTGAGTCTGTGAGACTGGCAGTGAGAAAACCATTTCCTAAAGCACCCTTATCCTCCCCCCTTTCCGTCTGTTGCCTTAGGTCGCACGGTGACAGGCTTCCCCTACTATTTATATAAGTATATATTCCGTAGCGTATGGTTAGGGCTAGGCTGTTAGGTAGGCAACTAGGGTTGTTAGTGATAGTACAGCTTTCCCTGACCACTCATGTATAGCCAGCTAGCTACAGCTAGGTAGTTGACTGTACACCACGTAAAGTCAAGAAAAGATGCGAACAAAATGGAATTGCAAATGATAAATTTATTCAAGAAGTACAGGTGGAATAATTGTATAATGGTATAACTGTAGGACAGTTTTTAGATATAGTTAGGGAAATGATAATATCAATTTAACGTAGTTTAGTTAGTATTACAACTAGACACAGTTCGCTGCAATTTCATTTGTTTTTCGGCTTTTTTCCACCCGTTTTTCATCTCTATTATTTCCCTTTAATAAATATAGATAGAGTACATATATTGTTTATTTTTTTTGTAAGCTTATATTATTTAAGGTACCATAGTGTGAATGGGGCTTAACGTTACGTATCCGCGTTCGGGGAATTCTGAGGAACTACTGAGTTCACAAGGAGCCCCTTGGGGATTGGGCTAGGGGATCCCGGTGGATGAAACGGAATCAGGCGCTTTTCATCCTCTAAAGTTTATACCTTATTATTTATATTTTTATTTGCAGCGCTACTCAGAATCGCAAAGATCAGAGGGACACTGCCACTGCGTATATCGCCTTGCAACATAAGTTGACAAGTCCTATGTGCCTGTAATTTCGCCCTTACCATTCAAAATAGGAACGCTGTAAACAACTCATCGGCAGAAAAGGGTAAGATGTCTGTACATCCGTGGACAACTCTTTTACAAAGAGCTCTCTCTGCTATCTACTGCTACTTGGGGTTGGGTATAGGTAACACAAAACAAAGTAGGTACTTAAATCGGTGGTTTTTGCTAAAGAGTTTGTAGTATTTGTAGTTGTGAATAGTTTTTATATAGTACTAAATCCAGGCACTACCTGTCCGTGAGTGGCGTGATCACCAGCCGCTCCGTACAACCCAGGTATTCGTTCTGGTAGGTGAAGGTGACGTCGGTTACCGATATCCACGTCTTGTCGGCATCCTCTTTAAAGTAGAAACGGCACTGCTTCAACCACTCGAAGTCGTTCGCGGTACGCACGTTTAGGCGACACTGGACAGTGAATAATATTTATTATTTTAATAGAATCGCACAGCTCATGGAATTACGGCATGAGTGAAGCAGCGCCAAAAATGTTTATTGCTTCATTGCATACAGAAAAATATCAGTGAAATCGTTGTGATTTAATTATTTAGTTTTATTAAGGTCAACAACAGTTTATTATTGCTAACTTACATTTAAATGAGCACCTTCAAATTGGATGTTTATAAAAAATTTGATGCTTATAGAAGTGCTACAGCGGCGCCTAATTTTCGTACATTATCTAGTTTGCAAAAGTGACAATTGTAACAAAAAGAGTAGTGGCGCGGCAGTTACCAAGAGTCGAACATACAACTATCCCAGATGGATGCTGGAGACGACGGAGACGCGAAACACGTGTCGGGTATTTTTTGGATGGTTGTGAGTGTAGTTGCGCTTGTCTTATTTATTTTATGCGAAGCGAAGGTGGTAAATTAACTCCATGAGTAAAAAAAATCAACATGAGCGTAGCTATTTTGCATGATTTAACCTCAACCTAGGGTTCACGGAATTGCAAATTAATTTACTTCAATTTTTATTAACATGGCCTTCCGCAACGCCTGAATCTATTAATTGTTTCTATAAGCGTCTAATTTGAAGGCGTTCTTAAAGTAGAGGACAATTGCCATAGATTTCACACAGGTGGCGCTACGGCATGCACGTCGCAAAAAACCAAAAAGACATCATCAAGTTCTTATTATTTGCTTAATGGCTCAGGGTCAGTGTTAGTTTTGTAAGATCTTAAATTACGCAAGATAGCGAATTTGCTCCAAAAATACTATTTTACACAGCCATGTACACACTAATACACTACATAGCACATAAAACAATATTTTACTTTTATCAACTGGTTGATATAACAATAAATGTATGTAACAATAATATATAATACATATAGGTAATACGCATATACGTACTATTTAATGTTAAAATTAAAAAGCCGCTGTAGCCTAACCGTTTGACCTACCGCCTCACAAGCAGAGGCCGTGGATTCGAATCCGGTCTCGCACCTTCTGCGGCTTTCGAAATTTACGTGATTTGTGAAGATTGTGATCTTTTCGTGCGAATTTAAAATTAATTTGACATTTGCTATGACCTTTTCGGTGAAGGCAAGCATCGTGATAAAACCTGCACGTCCAAGAAGGTTCACAACCCTTGGAAAACGTGAGTTTCTTTCTTCTTGAGAAGTCCTCAACCCGCCAAAATATCAGTGTTGTAACCCTCGAAAAACGTGTGTAACTTTTCTCCTGAGAGGAGGCCCGTGCCCAGCAGTGAGACGTATAAATGGGTTGATGATGACGTGCTATTTAATAGAGATAATAATGATAATTTCTCAACTATGAAAAATGCCATAGCAACATCTTGTTAATATCATGGTAAAGATGTTACAAAGTTATTTAAAATTTGTTAAATTCCTTCTGTTTACTAAATACAATGTAGAATTACGAATACTAAAATCGAACACACAGAAAAAATTACGTCGACCCGATGGGAATTGAATCCACGTCCATGTGGTAAGGTTATTAAAAAATCTCCCACTAGATGTCACTAGTGGCGACGAAAAGTCAATACAAAGATCTATACCAAAAACACAGGAGAATTTCGACGACTCGGTAACTGGACCCGTCACTCAGATGGTTAGAGCAATGCTACGGTGCAGCGTGGGTTGGAGTCTCCCCGTGTGTTCGATCTTTGTGTTCATAATTAGAACAAAACTAGTGGATATATTTCACAAAAAAAAATCTCAATAAATACAATATACAAGTTATAACTGTACAGCGAATATACTCACATTCGAATACATAACAACAGTAAAAGTACGTTTTATAAAGTTTTACGTTTCTATTTACAACTTCGTGCAAATAAAATGAAGGGTATTTATTTGTCAAAGTCTGTCAAGTCAAAGTTAAGATCAAGTCAAAGTTAAAATAAAATTGTAAGACTTATTATCAGTGATCGGAATAAGTAGAGTATATTTACCTAAACTTCAAGGAACAGAAACAGAAAGTGGAGACTACCTTACGACAACAATTTTTTGGCGCGGATTTTTTCGGCATTCGGAAAATCACTTATATACAATAAAAATTGACGTTATTTGGCATAGGTAGGTAGACCATAGATTTAGTATATCCAATAGATTGGCCCTGAAGTATTGGAGACGAGACCAAAACACAAATACATCTGTGCGCATATAATGTGCATGTATGCAAGGTAAATAGTGTTGCGCCATCCACTGATTTCACTTTAATATCGATTAACATATTACACCGGCATTTCACTTCGTCGTATTCACCAAAATGTCTTATTCCAAAACGCCGAGATGTTAATTAACTAATTAATTAAGGATTCAATACAAAATTAAGAAAGCTACTATCACTTTCTGACAGTGCCATAGGATGGTAGGTAAACAATGGGGACTTTCACTCAAGATAATACTATGGCTCTACAAAACGGTGATAACACCCATGATCAGTTACGGCGCGATAATATGGTGGCCACGAATCAAGCTGACGACCGTAACCGACAAGCTAGACAAATTCCAAAGACTAGCCTGCATAGCGACGATTGGCTGCATGAGGACAACTCCAACTGCGGCGCTCCAAGCGATTTCGCTGATTTGTTGTTGATGAGAGTAGTACTACACAAAAGTCCGTTAATTGTAAGACATACCGGCATGAATAATGTGGGTAGAACCAGAACGTAGCTTCACTCTTTGCTTGCCTCTAAAGGAAAAGCATTTTTCCTCAAAGTGTTTGCTGCATATTTTTTAAAACTTTTTGGGAACCCAGTCTTCTCTCTTTAGCATTGTAAGACATTTCTGTCGTATTTCAATGTTTTGAGGAAATTTGAATCAACAACAATAATTAACATAAAAAAGGGTGCCTCAACTACGCTATTAAAAGAAATTTTCGTTTCAATGTAGACAAAAAATAATGCACTAATGCAATATTAATTATATATAAATTACTAAAACCAGAAATTTCTGATTCAATAATATTAAGTATGAAGATGATTTCGGCTGTATGCAAGCCACGCTTTTGCCTTTCTTTTTTCAGTTAATGACATCTCGATAACATATTATCGATTGCGTCAATTTCTATGAAAGTGGCGTTATGAATTTCAGAAATTCACGTATTTGATATATTTTTTAATTGAATTCGTATACATTTGGGTTATTAATGCCCTTGAATGGTACAATGTTACGGATATATTTATGTAAAAAACTTTTGGGGTAGTGTTTTTAGACAGCTAAAAATGTTAATAGTACTTACATGTGAAATGTGTAATTCTGCGAGTTTACGTTTTTAGATGAGTTACATCCGGGTAATGAACACGTTACCATGACTAATAAACGTCCGTTTAACACTATTTCACATTTTAAAACCAATTATTTTTCAAAAATAAACGAAATTTGTTTCGTTGTCAGCTGACCCTAGGTTCATACAGGCTCGTAGCGTATAATGTGGTTAAAGAATTTTATTTCTCAAAAAGAATTATACATTCACTTAAATGAGAGACTTAAATATAGCTACATTCACAATAAAACAACATTTATTACGCCGTACGACAAGCGGCAAATACATAGGTATGGTTTAAATATTCCACCTAAGACGAACACATATAAATAAATTTTACATTTTTATAAGAGGTGGGTAATTTTACCTCAACCGTCGCAACATTGATTGTACTGGGCAAGAGTTTTTGTACGTTCGCACACGCGTAGTCTACACAGATCGGCAATAACTAGATGTGTCAAGCTACATAAGTATATTACAGGAGTTTGATTTGTTTTATTTTATTATTTTCTTCTTATCTATTCCTTTTTACTTTATTTATTAATTTTGCTTAACGTTCATTCATCAGATAAATTTTGAGTAGCTTTTTAAAAGTGTTTAGTGTTTTAGCTTCTTTAACATTGTTAGGCAATGTGTTGTATATTTGTGCAGTTCGAAACGTAATATTATTTTTACCATAGTTGGTTCGCGGCGGCCGTAGTATTACGTTATTAGCATTTCGTAGTCGCTTTAGTTGCATATGTTCATTTTTAGTATTAAATTTGATATCAATATGAATATCTTTTAATAATATTTTTCGAATTAGAACGCATGTAAAATATTTATATGACTCGTCAATATTCATTAATTTTGTGGCTTTGTATAGTTTTGTACTTGGAGTAAGATAATTGTATTTGAATAGTGTTTTTATTAATTTATTCTGTGACGTTTGTAAAAATTTTAGATTAGTTTTAGCTGCTAACCCCCATATTTCAATCAAGTAGTCGATGTGTGGTTTTACTAGAGAATTGTAAATATTGTATCGCACATTCAACGGCAAGCAACGGACTACCGCGTAGTGCACCAGTTAACGAAGCTAACTTTGACTTTATCTTTTGAATATGCGGCTTCCATGTCAAGCCACTATCCAAAATAAGACCTAAATATTTTTCACTCTTTGATCTATCAATTTCAAAATTGTTAATTTTAAGCGGTTGAAAATCTGATATATTTTTATTTTTTGCTGCAAATATGACGTAGTGTGTTTTAGTTACGTTTATGGTTAAAAGATTACCCTGAAACCAATCATTTAGAATATAAAGGTCACTCTGAGCATCCGTAATTATTGATTCGATATCGTGACCAAAATAAAATAGGCAAGTGTCATCGGCGTAAAGAGAAAGCTCTCCCTTTAATTCGAGTTTACTGATTACATTGATGTAAATTAAAAATAACAATGGGCCGAGGAGTGATCCTTGGGGGACACCGTACGTAATAGGTGTAGTTGAACTTTGGAATTCAGCGACTCTGACCACTTGATATCGATCTGTCAGATATGATTCAAAAATTTTGTAAGCGTTGCCGGTAATACCAATCGATTGTAATTTACTCAAAAGGATTTTGTGACTGACAGTGTCAAATGCCTTCTTTAAATCGATAAATATACCTAAACATATTTTCTTTTCATCGATGTTGTTCTTTATTTTAGTAACTAGATCTACTGTAGCAGATAGAGCATTTGACTTTGGCCTGAATCCATATTGTTTGTTATACAAGAAGTTAATTGAGTCTAAATATGTTGCAAGACGGGTATAGATAATTCTTTCAAATATCTTGGACAATACTGGAAGCACAGATATGGGGCGGTATAATGAAGTGGTCTTGTCTATCTTGCTCTAACATAAGTGTATACTAACGCTCTTTCACTTGCATTGCCAATCTATGGGTACCTATATACTAAATCTATGAGGTAGACTATATTTATTTAAACTTTGCGAATAGTCGATGCGATAGCTTTAGGACCCCGGAAGAATGTCCATAAGTCTATAGTTTCTTTGAAATACGTATCTTAATAATTCTAATTACATGTATTTAAGTAAGATGTTTTTAATCGGAATTATCCTAAATATTCCAAAAAATTGGTGGTTTTAACAACTCTTCGCCAAGTTTAGATAAATATAGTATTTCTACATAAATCAAATAACGTTAATTTTTTTATGAACTTAAGTGATCTCCTGAATCCCGAAAAAATCCGAACAAAAAATGTTATCGTGAGTCTCCACTTTCTGTCTCTGTTCCTCGAAGTTTAGATAAATATTATCTACGTAATTTGATCACTGCTTATTAGAAATATATTATGTAACTCACCAACATATCAAAAATATCCCGCTGATGTACGTGGATAGTGATCAAAGTTTCAAATTTGATCCTTTCTATCTTGAGAAGGTCTCTAGTGGTCTGGTCTATCAGGGTGTTCAACAGCTCAAGGAACTTATTGTTGGTTTCAATCATGATCTTCTTGTCTTGCCGCGCCTGCATCAGCGCTAGCTCCGCGTCACGTGTCCAGATTATCTGGATACCTAGAAGGCCTATCTGTGAACAGTTACGTACTGAGTGAGGAAATTACTAGACATACTCGCAAATTCTTGTTATTAGTTTCGATGAGCGAGTGCTCTAATTAGGGATGTCGCATGCAATCTGCATCCGCATATTTATAATTATCTGCTTCCGCATCCGACATCAATCGACGCAGCGACTTAAATGTGGCTTATTTGTAAACAGAAATTATGATATACATTTACGTGAATTGACGTGCTCATTTCTACAAACCTATGATGAATACTAAAAAACAATTGACTTTGTAGTCATTATATAGTTGCAATGGATGCATAAAATTAAAATATCAATGGGGAGTTGATGGGAATTGTGTCATAAGCACTTATTTTTCGGAATATAAATGGCTCGATCCTAAGAACCTTGAAAATTACCATGTTTGTATAATTTTTTGGGAGTACCGATTGCTCGTAAAGATTTTTCTCAACATTGATTTCAGTATGACAGCTCTATATTAAAAAGCTTTAAAAACATGCTCAAAAACACCAACCTGGGCAGGCATTTTATCGAGGAACATCAGCAGATTGAAGGAAGGATCATTGAGTATAGAAACAGCATTTCTGATAATGGAATGGAGACTGCTTTGAGCGGATTGGAGCAGCGACGTCAGCCAAGTCTCGACGGAGCCCTCGGCGCGTACTGGTCGTTCAAGGTTAATCTCTTCACCTTCCGAGGACACGATAGCTATCATTTTGTTGTATTCTGTAAATTATAACATAAGTGAATATAAACCAGTGTTTTAAACCACATCTCTGGTATAGAGTCAGTGATTATGGGTTGAGGTAATGAGCCCTATACATACATACATTTACAAGGTAAATAAGTACGCCAAATTAATAAAATATTTTTTTCATGATATCTAGTGACGGAACGAACATGTCGTGCGCCTGGTGGTAAGCGACACGCCTGTCCATAGTAGCTGCACTGCCAGTCGGAGCTTTAAATCGCAAACATTTGCTCACCCGTCACCTTGAGACATAAGTTGACAAATCCCATATTTTATTCACGCACACTCAGTACCCTACAAAATCGGAACGTACACATCACTTCTTGGTGGCAGAACTAGGAGAAGTGCTAGTACTCCACTGGACGAACTCCTTCACAAGGAGCTCTATTGCTATTTAACTACATTTAATACTAGTAAATTTTGTTGTTGTAGGGCACATCCTTCAGCGCTTGATCCGGCAAACAAAGCATGTTTGCAGGACGCGGCTTACGCCGCCTGATTCCCCTCGAGTAGTTAGGGATACTCAAGGGCTAATAGCTAATAGCTGTTGCACTGTGGGTCTAAGTTCTTGGCGCAACCGTATGGTTTGTAAAACTGTGTTCGAAGTATACCTGACCAGCTTGCACGACCCGTAAGGCAGGGTGCGAGGGACATGTTCGATACGATCGCGACTATTTTAACATAAAATAATACATGTATTTTAACATAAAATAATACATATATTGCGACTTATACCTTTGAAGACGCCTAATGAAAGTTGTTTTGAAACTGTCTGTAATATTTCTAATAATAGGCACGTGCCTATTATTAGAAATATCCGATTCGTGACAACTGCAAAATCCGAAAACCAAATTTAACGGATATTCGAATGAAACGAATCCAAATTGCAAGCCCTAGTTGTAGGGTTCTCTTTTTAAAGCCTGCAAGGCCATGTACATACCACAGTTGTACCTATTTCTTCCGCAAACCATCAATGCTAATTTAAGGCTAGAGAGAGCCACCAAATTTAGTTACGTACGTCCCGCAATGCGAATTGCGATATATCCCGGATACTCCCTTATTATCACAGCAATCTATAGACAGTGGTTACTACTTTGCGTAGAAAAAATAAATAAACTTACCTACGTCATGAAATTTCACATATCGTGTGTTGTCAAATATAGATAGCAAATGATTCTGTATTGTATGCGAATCAGAGGCCTGTCCAAGGATTTCCAACAAAGCCGGGTCTGACACGAAGAAAAATCTTGGAAACATCGTTCTTTTTTTTTCTAAATAACCACTGAGACTTTTCTGACAGAGCTCCAGTTGTTCTTGTAAGTGTGGTAGAAGTTGCCTTAAAAGATCGTCGCCGACACAACAAGAGACTACACCTGGTGTCTCATGAGCGCGTTGCATAATCTTCTGCCAGGATTTGTCGATTTTTGAGAAACGTTTAGCTTCCTTCGGAAGTTGCTTTGCGATATCGCCACCAACGAACACAGCTTCTAGATAGACCCACATGTTCTGGACTAGCAGCCAGCGTTCGAGAATTTCGTTTGTGCTCTGCAGGTCGTAAAGCCATTGCTGGATTTGTTTCCTAAACGGCGCGTTGTACCTGTGGAAAAGAAGGTATTACGTAAATAAGGTGTTAATTAAATAATAATAGAACCTATGTTACACTCTTTTCTAGTGAGTATACTACTCTAACTAACCCCGGCAAACAGGCGTTGGTCCAGCCGGCTCCAAGGGATTTTTCGTTATGTTTGTTAGATCTTTGTATTAATAATAACTCTAAACTAGTCTACTAGTTTAGAATATACTCCAGTATTTTCACGAAACATATATGAATACCGTGCTAGTAAAAAGCATCATAACATTCAATAAAAAAAAATTAAACATAACTGCTCCACCAATAATAATATTATGTGAGGGCTGTGGTAAGATTTTTAAGAACGAACTAATTGCTGAGTCAGAACAGACAATTTTCTAAATAGCAATAATAATTCATTTATTTCAGACGTTCCTAATCCATAATATGTGTTAGTAAAAGTACTTAAACTATAAATGCTAGAATTTACCATATGTTATTAAAATTTATAAAATGAAACAATTATGAAAAATAAATTAAAATTAAAAAATCAAAACCCAAAACTATAAAATCATTAAATGAAAATTTAAATACATTCAAAGATTTAAAATTAAAAACTTTCAAATCTGTATAAGAATGATCACAAAATAAAATTAAAAGTATAAACATTTATTTTTATAAAATTATATTATTAATTTGTTCATAGTAATGTTGTCGTAACTAACAAAGAAACTAGAAGTCTAAAAGTTTGCAATTATTGTTACGATTATGAGTTTGCTAGTATATTTTTCCCTCTAAAACCAATAGCAACATTGAACCTTACCGATTAGAAAGTAGCGATCCTAAGATCATGAGGCTGTCCTCCAGTTGACCAATGGTCTCAGCTGTGGTGTCACCCCGGAGGAGCAGCTCCCCGCGGTTGTTAAATGTCTGGAAAGTGAGCTCGTGTACCGACCACTCGTTGGTCACCTGCCGCAGTTTCGCCTCGATGTCCTTTTCCTTCATCGCGGATATGCAGATATCCTGCAGGTAATATAAAATACGCTTAAACTATTGTTAAAGAATAATAGGACTTACAGGTCTCTATCTCCTTATCGTAGGTATCGATGGCAAGTGCCGAGGCCGTAGGCAGTCCAGCAGAGGGCGAAGCCCGGCTCGTCCTCATGCCACCGTACTTAGGTAGTATACGGAGGCTCTATTACGAGTACAAGATCTCAAAAATGGTTAAAACATGTAAGGCATACTTCCTGAATCAATGGAAATTAGATACTTTAGCGTTGCTGTATCTCGACCGTCTACGTGTTAAATTTATTTTTGTTGGAAGCTATGCCAAAGAGAAATATTTTAGGGGAAAAAAATACAATCACACCACATTCCTAACCTCAAATTAGGGAATTTACTATGAATACTAAAATAAGGATAACTTTGATATATCCAAACCGAAACGAATTTACAAATGTTCGTTTCCTAAATTGGCCCAAATTAGGAATCGAACCTGGAACCTCCTCATCAAGCGCTTATAGTACTAACCGCTGTGCTACCGAAGAGAAAAAGCGCACCCCGTAATCTGAACCCGACCATGCGCCACAGCTCCGAAACCGATCCCACCGTAGGTGGGGTACACGGCTCGTACACTATAATGCTTGCCAACGTGGAGAAAGACAAATCGGCGTAAGATACTCGCCGATTATTGACCAGGGTGAGTCGTGCGGGGAGGCTCCTTTAGTACACCCCCGACATATAGGTTCATTAACTCTTTTCAAATGTTATTACAATTTAAAAGCAAGCTGACGTTTTCAAACTTTTAAGAAAATATAATATACATCTATATATACAATATATATACAATACATTTTTTCAGAGAATATTTCTATAAAGTTTAGTCAACAGTACATTTCATTGAACAATTTTTAATCGCTGTTCATACACCGTTATATGTGGTTGTGTGTGGTTGTGTGTGTATACTTATGTACAGGGCCAGGAACGCGTTCAGTTTAACGCTTATAATTTTCTTTATTTATTAATGCTCATCAACAATAATGTTACAACAACATTATGAGTAGTTTTTATTGCTTGTATGCTTGTAAGCACATATACATACGGTAGTCTACGTTAGTCAGTAGTATACAACTTGAGTCACCAGCATCATTATTTCAGCCAAAAGATGTCCACTGCTGGAAGTAGGCCTCTCACAAAGAACGCCACAACGACTGGCCTCGTGCTGCTTGCATCCAGCAGATTCTCGCAACCTTCACCAGTACTGCTATACTCCCATAGATAATAGCAATATCTCGCGGTCTAAGTCGCGACCTATCGTGCCAGAATCTCTATAGATTCTGGCACTATTTTTTTATATTTGGACTATTCCAAACGACTATTATTCTGCGAGCAATGTACTCCGGTCACTGCCACTAAAGTTTTGCAATTACTTCTAAATACAATAAATAATTTTTAAAGGTCCTTCCCCGCTCCCAAAACTGACATTCAATTCTTCTTACAGTGCGCTCTAATTGAATTTCTATACAAACCTGCGATCGCGGTATCGGAGACATTTCAAGGTTTAGGCTCAGAGCCTCGATACTCGGATACTAACAGTGAATTTCGGGTATTGATAGAGATTGTGTAAACTGTTCGAGAATTTAAGTTCTTACACTGGGCTAATATAGAAGATTAACATTTTCCATTCAAATATACTGTGCTGTCGCTTTTATACGAGTACCTTTCAATCTCACGGTACATGTACTGTAATAGACTACACTTTTCGACTTTATACATCGCTTATCGACTTTACAATTGCAATTTCAAAAACGGCAGTAGAACGGTATTTTATTCAAAGATTGCCATAAAAGGGTTATTTTAGTTGAATTGAAGTTTAATGTTAACTTTCGAAGTGTTTGGTTGAGTCAAAACTATTGCTTTGACAAATGTGGATTTCAAAAACCCTTTAGACAGTCTGATGATGATGATGATGATGGTCTCTTATGATCACATCATAAGAGAGGTTGATATGCTTGTGAAACATGCATGATTCACGTTTGCAAACGTTCGTTTATATTCACGTAATCAAAACAGAAGCTAAAAAACTGCCTTCAACATGCGATATGGTTTCGCCGCACGAAATTTAAGAAAACTTCATTTTTAGATGTATAAGAAACGGGAGACCAAACACGAACTCTGGAGGCGGTACTATTGTTTAACTTTCAAGATTTCTGAACTAATTTTCCTTTGCGTCAAGTCTATGTTTCGTGTCGTTTTCCTTGAAATTTCTACAATACTTCAAAAATACATTTCTTTTAACATGCAATAGCTAACATTGCTACATAAAATTCCCTTAACTACCATGTAACTGCCTCCGTGACTGAACGGTTACCATGCCGGACTGCCACGCTGAGGTCCCAGGTTCGATTTCCGGGCCGGGAGAAATATTTGTATGGTCTACATTTATTTCTCTCGTGAGTTTGGGTGTAACTTGTAGTTGTCTATGTGTGTGTCCATGGCACCCGCGTCACAGGGTTTCCCTAGTGCGGGGATATGTTGAGTGTGTGCGTTATTATTATTATTATTATTATTATTATTATGTAATTCTTGCTCTAAATTAAAAACTAATATATAATCGAATAAAGCAATTGCTCATTATGTACATTTTAACACCTTAACAGGGTTCTTGTTTCTACGAGATATATTGCTTTATGCCATCATAGATACAAATAATTTTCGTCAATATAAATGGCTATTTTTATCTCCCGAAAATAGTTTAGCTTAAAGTTTATTAAGCACCAACCAAATTTTGTTTTCGCCATTTTCTTTGTTTCTTGTTACGAGTGCGATCATTATTTGAAATATGGTAGGGTCACGACTGTAACAAAAAGGTTCTGTGATATTATAATATTATTATGAGAGATTCTTTGGCACACGTTAGGCTGTATTTTTTTTTATATTCTCGCGATGCAATTGCGTTGCTTATCAGACTAGTTTTCAAATAACCTCAAAAAATGTATCCCTTTCAATAATTTTTGAACTATTACATGAATGCTAAACATTATTTATTTAAAATTGTTGCTTGTTTCCTTAGTCTGTGTTACACATAAAAAAACTACTTTACTATGCTACAGTATTAAACGAAAATTAAAAAAGTAAGTAGGTAATTTCTCATTCCACATCTCCCTAACTTCAAGAAATAATTGTGTAAACAGCAATATTTCTCATCGAAGATACATAAATAACTTTCACGTCGAATTCATACCGTGACTTTCCGATTTATTATAAACAAATATTTTATTAGTTTTCTTGGGAATACAAAATGTGTTTAAATGTTTCTTATCATTAGTGTTACTTCAACTAAAAACCGCCTAATAACAAAAGTTTATACCGCATCACCTTTACCCTCCGCACATGGGAGAAGGGGCTCCTGTCGGATTGGAGTGTGAAGTGTGAAGCGACCTGGGCATTTCTGTTTTAGCAAAAGATCGACTTAAATACCAATTTCAGTGCTTGTAACAAAATCATTCTCATTCTTGTGAGGCAACCTATCTAAATAAGTATTCTGTTATAGTCTTATAAACTTTTTTGTGCATCAATTAGACAAAGGGAACTTTTACATCCTCGCACTTTTAAAACGGTCTAGAATATTCTACGACCTTGACAATTAATTCCAAATACTACTGTTAAGTCAAACAGTGACTTTAAGTATAATAATTAGATGGTGATGATGGTGGTGATCACGGTGGTGATTATGGTGATGGGGATGAATCCAAATTCACTCCGACGAAATATTGTTCACGCAGTAACCGCAAAAAATTGTTATGTTGAATGATTCATGTTTTGCAGAAACTATTTCCATGAATAAAATCAAATGTTGCTTATAATTTAATTTATATTCCAAGCGTCCATTATTACATTTTGCCACAGTAAACGAAGTCGCAACTACGTCAAAGCGCGAAGACATAGCGTTTTCGGATTTGTATTGTAAAAGAAAAAAATATAAGTCCTAGAAGTCCTAAAAGTTGTTCGCTACACTGTGCTTTATAAAGAAAATTCTACGACTACGAGTATAAAGTGGTGTACACAGAACATGGAACAGGAGTCGAATGAGTTCTCTTACGAAGCGGGCTGCCTTTGTGTAGTTGTCAGGGTACCAGAACTACATAGATCCGTAGAGATACACTCCCTAGCCAGCAGTGGTGGGAGTGAAAAGGACGAAAATACTGCAAATGGAATATAATAGACGGAGACGGAATTCTTGAAGTATTTATCTCTATGGGGGGAGGACCTTGCACCACCCTCATCCTCTTGTATGCACCACCCAATCTCCCATTATAAGTAATACTTACTTAACATGGACTTGGCCACCATCAAGCCACAATCTAGTGCAATTAATAATGATTTTCTTGTTTTCCAATGAAATGAACTTAATTAATTACCTCATTATTGTGTTTTACTTATCAAAAATACTTATATAATTATATTTTTTAGACAATAATATGATTATTTGTGGTCTTGTGGTGGCATATGGATGATCGATGATGAAATAAATATGTGTACTTGTTTGTCACACTATATCACCTTCTTTTGATAGTCTTATAAATGCACGAGTGTTGCAGTGATAACTCGTACATATTTAAAAAATGTATGCAAGTTTGTTTTATTTGTTTTAATCGCGCCGACATGTGTTCATCAATTATGATGTACAAAAATTCTCAAGTTTTTGAAGAAGTAGAATAGAATAATGCTATTATTAGTAAGTAAACCATAAGTAAACTGCCATGATCGTGAGAGAACGGCAATATTTGTGTTCTGCTACGATTATTTGCTAATTGCGTGGTTTCTTTATTCTTTTATGTAAAATTTAAAAAAGTAAGCTTAAATACAACAAGGTTTTGCATATACATAGATAATTTCTTATTACTTTTATTAAGTACTCGAAAACATATATAACATACAGCAAGACGTCAAGTAGAGGTACGTAAAGGTAGTTGTCACACTTGCGACTAAGTTGTCACAGTTGGAGGGGTGGCTTCACAATA